CTTTGGATTTCTTGTAGTGCCATTTTGTAGTTTTCTTAAGAGGTCTTCTGTGTATCTGGGTAGTTTTTTGGGTGGTTGTGGTAAATAACTGTGGTAGTCTAGTCTGTACAGAGTTGTGCTGCGAACCCAAAGGGGAGCACCTTGGAGAGGCTGACCTTCATCATTTTACCTAAAACAGTATCTCTTCTGTATCTTTTTATCTCTCTGTTACCTGACATACTGTTTACTTCTTTACCATCAGTTTCAATAGAATGCAAGCATTGAAACGTTTATGTTTGTTGATCAACACATTCTTTACCTATAGAATTATAGAACTCTAGTGGCCTAGTGGCAAGAAGCTGCATTCCAATCCCAAAGGCATGTGGTTCAATGTTACCAGCTGCTCCGCAGGAGCCTCCAAAGGAGGCCGGGTCATTATCAAGGAGCATAAAGGAAGGAAAAAGGTTTTATAAGTTCATGCTTTTGATTAAATGTCAAAACTGGGCACTTGACTGATCTCCAGGAAGTTAGAGATTTTACTGTATAACAGTATTCATAGATTATCTTCATTGGAAAGTGAGAAAAAATGAGTGAGATTTGAATAAAGACAGAAGTAGGAAGTTCAAACAAAAATGGAAGGCTCCTGATTGCAGTGGAACTGGGGAATGTTTTGAGGGTTAAAAAAAAATAAAGAGTTCAGGGTGCTCTGGTGGCCTAGTGGTAAGGATCTGAGCTGCAACCCTAAAAGTACACTGTTCTTACGTGGTTTGAATCCACCATATGCTCTGCTGGAGAAGCGGGGGCAATCTCCTCTTGTACCAGTCAGATCTGATTTGACAGTACATGTGCGCGCGCTCTCTCTCTCTCTTCCTGAGTGGAACAAATAGCTGAAGTGCTCAGCTGGTAACTGAAAGGTGGGCAGTTCAAACCGACCTCGAGGAGGCTTAGAAGAAAGGTTTTGTGATCTATCGCTGAAAAGCATCAGCCGTCGGCTGTGAACAACTCAATTCTGTTCTGACACACACAGAGCTGCAGTCAGTTGGAGCTGACTTGACAGCAATGGGCATTTTACTGACCAGCTGGTAAGCTTGACTTATATGTACTATTATTACTATTAGTATTATTGGTGTCCACAGGAATCCCTGGCTGAGTGCAACCAGTTAAGTGCTAGACTACTAACTGAATTGCTGCTGGCCTCAACCTGAAACGCCTCATAGACAAGCCCCGGAAACCGGCTTCAGAAAGATCTTGGTCGTCCTGTGAACAATTCTCCTCTGCACTGGGCTGACCATGAGTTGGAATCAAATGTTTTCTAGGTATATAAAGTGCACAATTTTTAAACTCTTACTACAAAGAATTCTGTCACTGTTTGCCGACTTGTCACAGTGTGGTGGCTTTCATATTGCTGTGATGCAGAAAGGCATGCCATCTGTATTTACTATAGCGGCAGGATCACTCAAAGTGGACAGGTTTCAACAGAGCTTCCAGACTGAGAGACAAGGAAGCAGGCTTGGCCATCCACTTCTGAAAACCCTATGAGCAGCAGCAGATCACTGTCTGCTATAGAACCAGCAGATGAGTGTTCCTCATGATGGAAGGCGCTCATTTATGACAAGGGACGTGTTGCCTCCTCAAAGCAGAGTCTAAAGGACGTGGCTGGAGTAGAGCTTTCACCGTGAAGGCCTTCAGTTGCAGATGTGGCAGAACTCAAAATTAGAAGAAACAGCTACAGGTATCTATTAATTAGTAGATACAATAATATCTAGGGTGAAGCCCAGAGAGAGATCAGCTGGCCTAGTGGACAGAAAGCGATGTGGCCCTTGGGCCTGTCTTTCATTGTTTTTATTCAGACATTTCTCTAGGTCGTATAGCCCTGGCGTACAAGCTGCCATACAGTGGTCACTTGTGGTCGCTGTGAGGCTGAACACTGTGACACTGATGTGTCAAATGCGTTAATGTTTGGCTACCCAATGGGGACAGAGAGTGGGGTGGAGCTCCCCGATTAAAACAAGCTTGGAAGGAGGAGTGGCATCCACTTCCGTAATAGCTTGCCTCTGGAAACCCTATAGACCTGGAGAGAGGATGAAAGGCATCCAAGCGTCAAGGACTCTCCTTCATAGGGTCACTATGAGTCGCCTGCAACTTGACGGCACCTAACAACAATAGGGTGAAGCCAGGCTGCTCCTTGGAGGCAAGGTTTCTGAAGCTTTGTCTGATATACTTAGGACATGTTGCAAGGCAGGATCAGTCCTTGGAGAGGGACATTATGCTTGGGAGGGTGAAGGGACAGTGCAGGAGAAGAAGAGCCTCTATGAGGTGGATTGAGTCAGTGACTGGGGTACTGGGGGTGGGTGTGTCAGAGACAATAAGATTCGCACAGGATAGAGCAGGGTTTAGGGCTGATTTGCATAAGGTCGCTATGAGTCACAGACAACTCAATGACACATAACAATAACAACAACATTAATATCTAGAATAATCTATATTAAAGTATAAAAATTGGAACCTGTAATAAAGTGAAATGGAACACATTAATATCCTATATGATCCAGCTGTATTCGCCCTTTTGAATTAGATGACATTATGGTTCAATATGCTGGGATGAACAAATAGAAGTAAAATAGTGTAGTGTTCATTATCAAAAAGGACATTTCAGGATCTGTCCTGACTAAATGCTGTCAGTGATAGGATAATATCCATATGCATAGAAGGAAGATGTATTATCTTGGAGAAGGTGCAGCTCGAGTGCTCCCTGGAGGCAAGAATGATCAAGCTTCCTTCTTGCACTTTGGGCATGTTGCTAGGACATTACATAACTTAAAACTAAGAAAGGTAGAGCTCTCATGGCAAGAAGCTGTACTGCAATCCCAGAGGTGCACAGTTCAATTCCACCAGATTCTGTTGGAGAAGAAGGGACAATCTCCTCCTGTACCAGTCAGATCTGATTTGATGGTACACACACAAGAAAGAATAATTTTTTTTTCCCGAAACAAGAACCAAAAACCTAAGAAAGGTGTGCATCAGTTATATCCACACCAATCTATGCTGAGCAAATTATTTAAAAAGTTGGACTCTATGGAGAAGAATTTTCCATCAGGATTGGAGGAAGACTCATCAACAATCTTCTTTATGCTACTGTGCACCCTTGAGTCAGAACCAACCTATGTCTGACCCTTCAGTGGGTTTTCAGAGACAGTAAATAGCAACAAGAGGAGAGTGTCCATCCTCCTTCAGTTTTGAACTACGTGCCTTTGAGATTGCAGCACAGTTTATTACTACTAGGCCACCAGAGCTCTCTCCAACCTTCATTATGTTGATGACATAGACTTGCTTGCTGAAAGTGAGGACTTGGAAGTGCTTGCTGCAGAAGATCAAAGAATACAGCCTTCAATATGGATTGCATCTCTATGTCAAGAAAACAAAAATTCTCACCACTAGACCTAGAGGCAGTATTATGACAGATGGAGAAAACAGAAACCGTCAACAACTTATCTTAACTTGGATCCACAATCAATATACTTGGTACCTGCAGTCGAAGAGATCAAGAGGCACATTGCACTGGAAAAGTCTGAACTCGGGGACCTGTCCAAACTACTGAGGCACAATGTTAGTTTAAGGACTAAGGTACACCTGATCCAGGCCATGGTTTTTTCAATCACTTGGTATGCTGGTGAAAGCAGGACAAAGAACAAGGATGACAAAAGTGATACTTTTAGGTATGGTGTCAGAAAAGTGTACTGGGTATTGGATGGACTGCCAAAAGAACATCTTCTGCAAGGTATGTCTTGCAAGAAATACAGTGAGTGTGCCTTGGAGACGGAGATGATAAAACTTCATCTCATACTTTGGGCATGTCGCTAGGAGAGGGACATTATGCTTGGGAAGGTGGAGGGATGGCAAAAGAGAGGAAGACTCTCAGCCAGGTGACTCAGGGACTGCAGCAATGGGCTCAAGTGGATTAGTGGTTGTGAGGATGGCAATGGAGAGAGGTTTCAGATCTGTTGTTCACAGGGTCGCTGAAAGTCATACTCTTGAAGGTACCTATCAACAACAACAAAGCTCATGGTGAGCTGTAAGATGCCTCAGGGCAAACCATCACTATGTATTCAGAGAGGAAAAAGAAGGTCTAAGAAAGGTATTCCTTAGAGTGATAAGTATCATCTGTTCTTAATTTTTCAGATAGGTTACTGAAGAGTACTAAAACAGGGTTGTTGTTGTTGTTATGTGCCACTGAGTTGCCTGAGACTCATAGCGACTCTATGTACAACAGCCTTTACCCTGCTCTATCCTGTGCCAATCTCACTGTCTCTGACACACTCAACCCCACCACCCCAGTCACTGAATCAATCCACCTCTTAGTCTTCCTCTCCTGTGCTGTCCCTCCACCCTCAGAAGCATCACATCCTTCTCCAAGGACTATTCCCTCCTTGAAACATGTCCAAAGTATGTCATATGAAGCTTCAGAATCCTTGCCTCTAAGGAGCAGCCTGGCTTCACCCTGTCCAGGATGAACCTGTTCGTTTTCTTAGCAGTGCATAGTATATTCAGTACTCTTATCCAACAACACAGCTCAAAGACATCAATTCTCCTTCTATCCTCCCTAGTCATTGTCCAGCTCTCTGATGCATAGCAAGTGACTGCAAAGCCCATGGCCTGTATCAGGTGCACCTTAGTCTCCAGAGTGACACCACTGCTCTTCAGTATTTTGAAGAGATCTCTAACAGTTGACTTTCCCATCGCAATATGTCTTTTAATTTCCTGGCTGCTAGTGCCAAGAGTGTTAACTGTGGAACAAAGCGAAACAGGGTAAAAAAAAGAGCATATATTTTAATGATAAATATTTATTAATCCATAATGTAAATAGAGATTAAAGGTTACTCTTTGAAATAAAAAAGTCACACACAAGTATTTTAGTACAAATGATTGGCATATATTTGTATCATATATATAAATCTACACATTTAGAAGATACTCCTAAAATTTTGTTCTTTAGAGCATCACCCTAGGATTCTTCTACAGAATCATGGGGAAGAAGAGTTCGATGATGATTGTGAAACCGGCTCTCCCATTACTATGCTGCTTCTGTCATTTAGAGTTTTGACAACATTTGTAGCTGGAGACTGAAGCACTTTGCGAGACAGCCTCATTCGTCCGTCTGCTGGATCACGCCCAAAATATTTCACCTGTGTTAAGAAAGGGATTTAAAGTTAGAGCATAATGATTATTAGCCTCCAGATTATGTTTCAATTTACATGGTCCACATTGCCACAGGCAATACTTTTATGTTTTTGCTTGTTGACTAAAAGCTCAGCTCAATGCTATGTGGAGAAGTAGGATTAATAAGTAAAGAAATAGGATTTGGTTAAGTAATAAACATAAAGAACAGACTCCTGTCTGTTGACATAATTGAACACACAGTTGCTCAATTTTAATTTTCTGTTAGAGTCATCTGTACCTTTTTATGCTCTTCAAGCCTCACACCATAAAGAGAAAGCAATTAAAAATGGATCAAAAATCACAAAAGTCTTAGAAGAAAAGACAAGAGTAAGGCTGTAGGAGACCGTATGTCTCTGTATTGGGAAAATAATCAAAACCATCGTGAAGGAGTTTAGATAAGGACTTTTTGAGCTACTCTTGTGCTAGAAACAAATGGGATTTTGCTGAGATTACTCAGATTTTCATAACTGCCTCAAAGGACCATCATACTAGAACATAACTGGTTTAATCATAGAAAAAGAAAAAGACATCAGTTGGAAGCCCCTTCAGATACTCAAGGCAAACACAAAACAACCAACCGATCTTGTATGGAGATATGATGTGTTAGTTCCCATCTTTCCCTAGAGGCTACGTGAACAATGAGACTACAGATTAGGAATAAATCTGAGGTCTCAGTCACTCAGGTTACAGGGATTAGGTGTAACTGGAACAAGAGTGATGAGGTGAAAAAAACCCCTCAACAACCCCAGACTGGCAATGAATTCTTTCATCCATTCATAAAGCACTACTGAAAAAAGGTCAACTGTTATCAGAATTCTAGAACTGACTACATAGCTTTCATCAAGCTAAAAATCTTTTCTTCCCAAGTAGTGAAAAAAGCAATTAAAGTCTCAGGTCCTCAAATATGTCACTAAAGGCATTTGACAAATTACTTTATTAGGGTTCTCATGCCCCGCCTCCAATCACTGCCACCCCAGAACCAGCACTGGCTTGCCCACGTGTTTTTAAGAGGTCTAATACTGACAACTGTTGTAACTAAAATGCCAACTCCTTGAAGAAATAACTGTGTCTCAAGTAATGAAGAGTCTCGATTTGGAACCTTAATGTTAAAAGTGAAACACCACAAATGAACAGAACACACAGATCTTCATTCTAGTCTTTCAGTTTACTTTTGGAAAAGAATACAAACTTCAAGCACAATTTTAAACATAGAGACTAAAAGCCTGAAATACAGGTACCTGAATTTCTTGGCCAACTTCTAATCCTAGAGCAGTAGGATGTCTAATCTGAAAGAAAACAGGTTGACCTATTAGTGGTTGTGAATAATGATCTAATATCTGTGGGCGCATGTATTATTATGTATTATTTTCCTCAAGGGCAAAAAGTTTAGGTTTTTCTTATTATAATATCCATTCATTGTAAAGATTTAAAAAGAATTCATTTCCAAATCCTTATATTTCTGTAACACTTTCTTATGTGACTATCTCGTATGTTAATCCAATGTTACATGATATCAGCATACTGTGCCTAGACTTTCACTGTTCTTTCAAAATGGTAATTAGGATTTTTGCTAAAGAAAAACACTTATGAGATCAAACCATATCAATTTATTGAAGTCACTGGCTTTAACATCACAGTTGAAAAGGATTCTTCACTTCTAAGATCACTAAAATATCTGTATTTTCTTTTAGTTGCCTTCTAGAATTTCCTTATCCTTCCTCCATTTCATTTTTTTCATTAGCTTTTAGATCAAGACTGAATTTTAGTTAAAAAATGAGCAGAAATTCTGCTTTATAATAATCGTTGTACCAATATGACTTATTTATAATTCTTCTTCTAACTTAAAAATATTATCTTTATTTGTTCTGTTCATCTATAAATTCATTCCCACTACCTCTGCCAACTGCAGCTCTATTAATTCCATCTACAATTTGTTATGACTTCTTGAAAGCATCCATTTCTTTCCCTCAGCTCTATTCATTTCTATATTCTGTTGAATAAATTTTTAAATTGACTTAAAATGTGATGTAAAGCATGTATTAAGCACCCATGTATATAACTGAGTTGGTTCCTAGGTTCTTTTTTCTTTTTCCTTTTTCAAATTTTGTTTATTTCTGGGCTAATAATGTCCCATTTAATTTTCTATAGTTTTATATTACATTTTAATACATAGTAAGACAGATAGTCTATTACTTGCTCTCTCTTGAATATCTTAGGTGTTCAGTATTCTTTTTCTTTTGTAAATTTTATTATTTTTTGTGTGTGTACCGTCAAATCGGATCTGACTGGTACAGAAGGAGATTGCCCTTCCTTCTCCGGCAGAGAAGCTGGTGGATTCGAACCACGAATCTCTGAGATTGCAGTGCAGCTTCTTGCCATTAAGCCACCAGATCTCCTAGGTGTTTAGTATTCTTGATGTATGAACTATAACAAAGACTGAATAAATATAAAGAGATCCTTGGAAATATGTTATTGGTTGACCAGAAGGAAAAGGTAGAGAGAAATAAGACATTAAAAAAAAAAAAAAGAAGGGGAGCTCTGGTGGCCTAGTGGCAAGAAGCTGCAACTACAATTCCAGAGGTGCACGGTTCGAATCCACCAGATGCTCTGCCGGGGAAGGAGGGGCAATCTCCTCCTGTACCAGTCAGATCTGATTTGACGGTACACGCACACAAAAATAAAAAAAAATAAAAAAAAAAAAAGAAAGAAAGAAGTTAAGGCTGTAAGTAGATCATTTTAGCAAATGCCGTGTGCAAACTCTAGATAATGTTCTACCTCAAAATATGTGCAGGGAGTCTACTCATTACTGGAAGAAAAAGCATGAAATATCTGTGGGAAAGAATGTAAAAGCTTATGCCACAGGCATTTGTGCCACTTTTGGTTTTCTATGCTTGGACTATCAGCAGACAAAATGTAAAATTCCTACCAACCTAGGTAACTTCAATAAGGACATCTTACAACAGTTCCGAGGGAACGAGACACAAATGTCCCCCCACCTTTGTGCTTCCTCCCCATTTCTTTTTACCTTTCGCTGATCAAGCTGTGTGTTATGGAGTAGTACCGCAGTCATATTTGGATATAGTTTTACCATGACTCCAGTGTCTCTAAAAAAAAAAAAAGGAATTAAAAAGCCTAGTTTAAAAAAAAAATAAAAGGAACAAAACAAAATATGTCTTTTTAACAATAAACTCTATGAAGGCCTAAAACACATACTATCTTTTTTTTAACAGAAAATATACTTTTCTATTTAAATACTTGCAGACCAAAGGAGAAAGAAAAGATAAAAATTAGGGAAGGGAAAAAAGCTTTTAGGATATATATTCCTCCTCTGAATTTCTCTTTATCAGACTTAAAAAAAAATCTATTAAATTATCATTGCAGAACCATGTTACTGAAAAACCTATAAGCTGGCATAGAAACTAAAATACAATCTACCTGGAAAAAGAATGATCCTATGGTTATGGATTCTAGCCTATACATTTAGCAATTTCAAAGAAAAGAATGAGAATATGTAAGGTCCACCTGACAATGGAATAGGTATCTTTTGAGAGCCAACCAAGGGTATTATTATTCTAAGTTACCTGATTTCTGTTATTGTGGCGGTATACACTGCTCCAAACTCTAACTGTTGCTCCTGCTGTATAAATAAGACACAAAAAAAGACACAAGATTCACAAAGAAAGCAGCAAACAACAAGGCAAAAACAAGTCCCTGTCCCACGACCTGGACTCACATCATCCTTGCAGATTTCAGTGATGAAGTCTCTGGCTTCATGCATGGCACTAGGTGTTGGTGCAAATACAGAAAATGTTTCTTCATCCACCTGACTAATAGTTACTCCTTTTAAAAAGACACATTTAACATGTTAAAGTTAACGTGACCATTCCGGTGGGGAGCCCTCTGCAGAGGAGAGGTGCGAGCGGGGGAAAATCCTGAAAGGTGCTGGGCGAAGCTGTTCTGTGTTCAGTCACTGCCGTAGTAACAGGGAGCGAGGGGGTCACCCACAGTCACAGAACACTTGTAAAGGGCCTGACATTGTAGTAGGACCTGGCGGTGCATCTGTGAGCCAATGTTCCAGTTTGAGGGAGCCCCAAATCAATTCTAACTTTGGGGAGCCTGGCTTTTGTATGCTAAATTATGAATAAAAAAATAGTCTAGAACATTCTTCCCACCTAGTTTCCTTTCTCCTCTTTACCCTTTAGAGTGGGGGGCAGATGAGTGAGGGACAAGATCATTTAGGTTTCCTTTCTCTAGTCCTAATCTTGAGAACTAAGGCAACTTTGTTTCTTACCTTTCTTGGTTTAAGGAACCAGAAGACTGCTTCCAGGAAAATAAACAAAAATCCAAGACAAAATAGTCTAACCTATGCTTTAAGTAAGTTGTTATGTGCCATTGAGTTGGAACTCATAGCTGACCCTCCAGCAGGTTTTCAGTGGTTGGAAACTGCCTGGGATGAGACAGTGGAGCAAGTCCTGTGGAGGAGCTGGTGGATTTGAACTGCATACCTTTGGGTTGGCAGTGCAGCTCCTAACCGCTGGGCCACCAGAGCTCCTATTTAAGTAAGTAGCAAAGTAATAGTAAAAGATAGCTGAGCATAACTCCTCTAAAGTGGAAACTAAAAGTTATTCCAGCTGTTAAAGTGTTGCAAAGGTAAATCAATGAGTTCTTGATCATCCTTCTGGAACACAGTGAAAAACAAATGTTGGCTGATTTATCAGAGAGGCCTGGAGGTGCACAGTTAAGTACTAGGCTGCTAACCTAAAGGTTGGCAGTTCAAACCCAACCATTAACTCTGCAGAAGGACTTGGCAATATCTTCCCATAAAAATTACACTCTACAAAATCCTATGTGACAGTCCTAAAGCCATGTGAACAACTTACAGCAAAGCCTTGCCATTATATTTTCTCCTGATCTTTCTCAAATATAAATCTGAAGCAAAAGAGGAGAGAGAAAATTCCATGGCCCAGAGATGAATAAAAACATCCTAAATGTTATATAATTCCTACCTGTTTCAGCCTGAAGTTTTTTTAAATGATATCCACCGGGGCCAACAAACTTGGATCGTTTTGATAACGGAACCTGAACAGTTTCTGAAATATAAAACCGACAAAAAGGCAAATGATCCAAATACATTTATGAACCTACAACATGTTCTGATCACTGTGGAGAGGATCTTTCTTTCTCTAGTTTAGTCTAAGTAGAACTACTTTAGAACAAAAACCGTTTGCGACTTGATTAAAATATTCAAAGTTCTAATGTCGAAGAATAGCCTGTCAAACTTAAAGTATTTTGACTATAATACTCAAAACATTTACATATTGCATATGGATTAACTAGTAACATGCTTTTATGTATTAATATTTATCTTACCAGAAAATCAACAATAATGTTAATGTATTACCTACAACAGGTCCATTTTCTTTCCTCGATGCTCGAGGTTTTGCAATTGTTTTGCTCATAATCTGTAATATTTCCTTTTTTGCCACTGAAGGAGATAAAAACATAATAAGTATAAGTGCATAAGAGAAAAATGATCTACGACAGGTGTACTCTTATTTTTTATGGAGTGGAATCTGAACTCTTTAGTGGAGCAAAGTTCTCAATACCGTAATTCCCTTGACAATTCTATTTATTCCTTTCTCTGTAAATCTCACTTTAGAGTCGCTTAGTTTGTAAAAGTCAAAATTTTTCACTGCGCTCCCACTTGAGTGGCACGTGCTGTGCCTCGTAGTATTTCTTGATCTACGTTATATTTAATTTAGTTTTTAAAGCAGTATTTTAAAAGAAATATCGAGAAAGTTACTGGTCTAATTTAAGAAATTAAGACAAGACAATGTACAATGTCAGGTACAATGGCTTACCTGAAGCCTGCTGAATGGCCTCCATGACAACTTTTATTGGTATCCCAGGTAATTTAATATCAGCCTAATTTGGAAAAGTCACAATTAAGACAGAAAGACTGACTTCTGACATTATCTAAGTATTATAAAATCCAAACAAAATGGATTTAAAAAATACCTGCAGGGCAGTTATTCCTTTACTAGTGCCAGCAATTTTGAAATCCATGTCGCCATTGTAATCTTCAATTCCCTTCAGGAGTTTAAAAATTAACACATTTTAAAAAGAAAAATTTACCCACAGTCATGATACAAGAAATGTACTTCCAGAAGTAGTTCTACTTCTAAAATATTTTACATTATTTATTATCTAGTTTGAATAAGGATGACAGAAGAACTGATGCTTTTTTAGGGGTGTTGGAGAAGAGCACTGAACACCCATCCCATGGATGGTCAAAAGAACAGATATGTCTTGGAGAGGGTGCAGCTGGAGTGCTGTTTGGAGGCAAAAATGATGAGGCTTCACCTCACATACTTTGGGCAGGTTGCTAGGAGGGCTATTCCTTGGAGAGGGACATGATGCTCGGAAGGGTGGAGGGCTGGAGAAGGGGAGAAAGACCCTCAACTAGGTGGATTGATATGGTGACTGCTGCAACGGGCTCTAGTGTGTCAGGATGTGGGAAGAAGGTGCAGGATAGGATGGAGTTCAGATCTGTTGTTCACTGGGTTGGTATGAGTCATATTAGACTTGACAGTACCCAACAACAACTGTTTAGTATGTGACTCTTAAATTAATATACTTTCATAAGGCACAGTATTTTTAGCTTATGTTTCCTCCAATGAATGCAAAACAATTGATTTAGGATCATTTGAAAGTGAGTCATTATGGGCCTTTAGACTATACCACAGGGAGATCTAGTGGTAAGATGTTGGACTGCCAATCCTAAAGCACTTGGTTCAAATCTACCAGTGGGAGAGAGATGGGCAATCTCCTCTTGTACAATTTAAAGTCTCTGAATATTCACTGGAGGGTCAGCCGTGAGTCGGTTTTGACTCGAAGGCACACGAAAGCAGCAGTAACATACTAAAATACTTATTTTTATCTAAGATTTTTCTAAGACCAAGGTGGTCATGCTGGGGAGGACAAAATAAGCAGCTGTGTTCTTCAAGGATGGTGATGTGCATTCCTTCAAATACAGGATGCTTGTGAAAGATGTATAATCCTATTAAATATTTGAAAATGCGAATATACTTGCCAGAATGTCTGTCAGCAAACGATAATCTTCTATTTCCATTTTATCAGAACTAGTTTTGGTGACCAAGCCGACTGCTACACCTGCGACCGCAGACGAAATTGGAACCCCTGCAATTAAGACAGTGAGAGAGAAAGCGTGCTTTGTATGTGGTATGTCCATCAGCCGAATGCAGAGATCTATGGTTCTGCTGGCAAGCATTTTATTGTAAATGTATACCATAGCTGAGAAAGATGTAAAGAGGGGATGTGACTAGCTCCTTTCCTCCTGAACGTATGACGTGGCTGTCAGTGCCACTGAGGGGATGACCACGCACACGACCCTGTGAACCACAGACTGGAGCCTTACCCTGGGCCGTGCCAGCATCACAGTCCCCCGCATGCTCGCACCCACTGATACAGTCACCGTGACAATCCATCTAGCTGAGGGTCTCCTCTCTTTCTCTGACCTTCTTCCACCTTTCCCAGCATGCTGTCTTCTTCCAAAGACTGGTCCCCTGGAAGATGCCCAAAGTCTGAGAAATGAAACCACCTATGTCTCTAGGGCAGGCGCATGCTGGCTGCACTTTCTCCAAGACAAACTTCTCTGCTCTTTCGGCAGTCCACAGGCTGTTCAGTGCTCGTCTCCAAAACAACTCAAAGGCATCGATTCTTCTGTCATCCTGATTCACTGTCCAACTTTCAGATGCAAAGAAAGCAACTGAAGATATTATGGCTTGGATCAGGTGCACTTTAAACTGACATTCTTTACTCTTTGGAGAGATCCTTGACAGCAGATTTTGCCAAGAGAACATGCCTTTTTACTTCCTGACTGCCATACCATGTGTGCTGATTGTGGATCCAAGTGAAATGAAGCCATTGTCAACCTCAATCTTTCCTCCATCTATCATGATGATGTCTACTGGTTCAGTGGTGAGGAGTTTTGTTTTATTTTTTTTAAAAATGTATTTTATTTTATTATTTTTGTGTGAGTGTACCGTCAAATCAGATCTGACTGGTACAGGAGGAGACTGTCCCTCCTTCCCCGACAGAGCATCTGGTGGATTCGAACCATGCGCCTCTGGGATTGCAGTTGCAGCTCCTTGCCACTAGGCCACCAGAGCTCCCCTGAGTTTTGTTTTCTTGATGTTGAAATATAATCCAGATAGAAGGCTATGGTTTTTTGTTTGTTTGTTTGTTTTTAATCTTCTGCAGTAAGTGTTTCAAATCCTCTTTACTTTTGCAAGCAAGGTTGTCGTCTGTATAAAGTACGCTGTCAATGAGCTGAAAACGAAAACCCACTGCCTTTGAGTTGATCCTGACTTACGGTGACCCTTCATCCGGCTGTAAATACTCAGCTATGGCTGGGATACAGCCACACTCAGGCTGTAAATACTGGGTGTTGACCCTTTCAGCTTTCTCCAGTGAAGCAGCGGGTGGATTCAAACTCTTGACTTTTCAGTTCACAGCTTAACACAGAACCCATTATGTCACTCTGCTTCAGAAACTTAAAATACTACTGTGGAAGAGTTGCCTCCTCAAAGCTGTCTGCCTTAAAGACAAAGTTGGGGTAAAGCTGATGACGATGATGATGTGGCCTGATTTCAACTGAGAAGAGAGAGCTGCAAAGATCCCTCAACAACTGTAACCTGGAATGTATGCAACATGAATCTAGGAAAACAGAAAGTTGTAAAAGCCCAATCTCTCAGGTGAATTGAAATGGACTGGTACTGGCTATTTAAAACTGGACTATCATTTACTTTCTGCTATAAGCAAAGAGGTCTTGCAGCACTTATGGCTAAAGACCAAAGATGATGACAGCCTTCAGTATAGATTACCTTTTAACATAAAACAAAAATCCTTGTCACTGCACCAAAACCGTAATAAACAGAGAAAGACTGACGTCACCGAGGATTTCATTTTACTTGGACTCACTATTAATTAACCCAGAAGAGTAGTCAAGAAATGAACATTCAAAAAGAACATTCATTCATACAAATGAACTTACAAAAGGGCAGCAACATACTGCACTGAGCCAGTCTGCTACAAAAAGACCTCTTTCAAGTGTTGAAAAGCAAAGATTTCATTTGAGGACAAGGTGCACGTGACCCAGGGCACTCTGGTTTTTTTTTTTCCTTTCCAGAACAAAACTCTTCTATTGCCTAGGTTTGGGAATTAGGATACAGAAAGTTTATAGTAATTATCATTAATGTGTTAAAGACCTTGATGGAAAAGTAAGTAATATACAAGAACCACAGGAGGAGAAATAAGGAGTAGAAATTTATAGAGTGAATTAACAGGAAATGCTAAAACAATAATAATAAGTGAACAGTTCTTGGAATTTCAATCCGCATATAATATTCTATCATCTTTAAGTTTTCAGTGGGCTGAGTACTTCCTCCTCTTTGGCTAGCTGTTAGTGCATATATTTGAATGACAGTGGTATTCACTGGACTTCCTTGTATGTGTATCGATATGGCACTCTATTTTTAATCCTTTCACATGCATGAGAAAGCTAGACAGTGAATAAGGAAGACCAACCCCTGCCCCAAAAAAACAAACAGAAAACAATCGATGCCTTTGCATTATGATGGCTGGCAAAGAATACTCAGAAGAAAAAGTCCAGGCAGAATGTTCCTGTGGAGAGAGCAGGGTGAGAATTTGTTGCACAGACTTTGGGCATATTATCAGGAAGGACTAGTGAGAGAAACTGACACAGTGGCTGGAGCAATGGGCTCAAACAAAAGGGCAGAAAATGCAAGGATGCTGGCAGGACCTGATATTGTTAACTGTAGAAAGAATCACCATGAGCTGAAATCAACTCCACAATCTCTGACTATAAAAACTCTTGTTCTTTTTCTGTGAACTGCCAGCAAGGCCCTTTACATTCGTTTATTTCTACCCTGAGGAACTTTTAAGTTTCCTCTCAATATGCAAGGGAAATCTATTGAAAACATTTCCGAGTTTGTTGCCTTTGTTTATGGGGACTTTTTCTGTGCTTAATTTTAACTTTTCAGCAATTAATGGTTCTAGATTTTGCTTAGAAAACTTTTCTTCTTTAAGATTTTCATAAAAATCTCTCTCTTCATTTTTAAAGTCCTGTTTCATTTTTGTCACCCTGAACTTATTTTGGTATACGAACTGTGCTAAGGATTTCATTTCAAGCTACTTCACCCACACTGTATGTCATCAATGGCTAATATATTTTCCCTCCACTCTAGGTTTCTGCCAAGTCCTGAACCTGCCTATCAAATATGCCGCCACCAGACATCCCCAAAGGGAGCTCTGGTGGCCTAGTGGCAAGAAGCTGCGCTGCAATCCTAAAGGCACGCAATATGAGGCCACCAGCTTCTCCGGGTGAGAAGGATGGGCAATCTCCTCCCATGCAATGAACTGAGTGCCCCTGAAAACCCACCAGAGGGTCAGCTATGGGTCGGTTCCAACCCTACGGTGCAAAACAAGAAGACATCTCCAAAACACCTTAATATGGACAGCCTCAGAAAATGATTTCCCTGCTACAGTCCACATCTTAGCTGAGAGCAAGTATGACCCTCAAGCCAGAATCAACACTTTTCTCATTTCCCATATCCTGTCTAATCAACAGAGCTGTTTGGTTTGTCCTCTGAATGTTTTCGGAAGCTGTCCTTTCTCCTGAAAAATGAAACAGCCACCGAGACTCCCAAGTAACTCCGAGTAACTTTCTGGACTGGGAAACAGATTTTTTTTTCTTTTTCTTATTTTCTAGACTTTACTCTTTCCTCCGCTTGCACTTCTAACCAACCTCAACCTCGGCTCCTGTGCTCACCATCTAAACTGTAGGGGAAACAAATCCATTCCCCAAGTGGAGATCTGGTGAATGGAATTTCTCTAGATAAAACTATGTTTAATTCATCATCTGTTTACAGGAAATTCTTATACATTTTCTGGGTCAAAAAGTTAGGGATGTACATCTGTCCTGACTTGAGTGACGTGGCACAAACATTAGCACATTAAAGACGATAGTAAATGCTTCACCACGGCTAAGCTTACTTTGGGAGAGAAGAATTCTTTTTCACGGTCTATTTATCCACTTCCATAATAGCTTGCCTCTGGAAACCCTATAAACCTGGAGAGAGGACTAAAGTTATACAGGAGGTGTCCAGGACTCTCGTTCATAGGGTCGCTAAGAGTCGCCTGTGACTCGATGGCACTTAACAACACCACCACCACCACCAGCAGCAGCATAGAAAGAGAGAGCAGAGGGCCTAGCGGACAGAAAGCCATGCTCCCAATCCAAAGGTGGGTGACTCTACTCCACGGTCCTCTGGCCAGCCTTTAACTGTTTTTGGTGAAACATTCTTCTAGGACATATAACCCTGGTGTGTCCACTTGCTGTACAGAGGAAACTCGTGGTTGCTGTGATGCTGAACACTGTGACACTGATGTGTCAAATGTGATAATGGTTACCCATGGTGGACAGTGTTTGGTGGAGCTCCCCGATTAAAACAAGCTTGTAAGCAGGAGTGGTATCCACTTCCGTAACAGCTTGCCTCTGGAAACCCTATGAACCTGGAGAGAGGACGAAAGTTATACAGGAGGTGTCCAGGACTTTCGTTCATAGGGTCGCTATGGGTCGCCTGTGACTCGATGGTAATGACAACAATATACAATTATCAGCAATCTGTAGTGTAAGTAGTGCGCCAGACATTGAGTTGGGAAATGCCAGCTTAGAGTTCAACCTGCTTAGAATGAAATGCCCTTCATTTATCACTCTGACCATGCTGTTCCTGTCACCTGACATAGGGGCGCAGCTCTTCATCTGCTCGGTCCACAATCACTCAATCGCTCGAACTTGATGACATGTAGCAGTCTCTCAGAAGCCTCCTCTGACACTCTAGACCACTCCTGTTCATGTGCCCAGAGTCCCATTCATATGCCCATAGCTATTTTTATTATTATTTCTTTTATCTTGAATTATGTTTTTATGGTTTGTTTTCCTAGTCATGAAGCCTTTTTGAAAGATGGGTATAAAACTTGCTTTAGGATAAGACAAACACTCATGTATTTGAATGAAATGCAATGTCTTTATAAAGAACTTTTCACTGTGACTTGACTCACATTGTTGAATGAAAAACCAATTTACAGAGCCAACTGGTTTTTAATTCAGCAGTGTCCTCACATTTTGTGACATTTTATGACAATGCCTGTAGTCCACATAATCTTCTCTCTTCTTCTCTGTGTTTTCTGTTTCCATTCATGATTTTCTTCTATCCCTTCCTCCCTTCTGAACCAGACTCCCGGAGGTACATGGTCCTTTTGTCCTCACACGGTTAGTTGTAAGGACTGTGGCTCTTTTTGACGTTACTGTTCATCTTAGAGGCTTCTCTACTGTTTTGCTGAACATTGAGCCTGGAATGCGAGTTCAGAACCAGGGTTGCAGGACGACTATGGGTAGCCTTGGAGGTTCCACCAGTCTCTACCAGAAAAGCGGTGAGGACATTCACAGCACGTTTGCTGGCGGCCTGCAGGCTTTGAGGATCCCACCTGCTGCTGCCCACCACAGCGGGTTACAGATGTTCTTTGTGGACTTTGTGATGTGATCTGACCTTAAAGATCACTAAAGTGAAAAACTGCGTGGGGAGTGAGGAAGAGGTGGAGCCACACTTCCATTAAAGGGAATACGGTCCGCATCAACAGCACAAAACCGATTATTCTGAATTCAGACACGCCCCTCACTCTCTACACTGCCTTCGAGAAACTCTAATACCAACTGCCTCTGCCGTGGCATAAACCACTTGTGCTGGGTTCAAGAACGTGGGCAACAGCTAGACTGAGGTCAGAGTGTTATTTATGATGATGAGGTTTACTAAGGAGCTAAGAGTTATAATTTAGGTGTGGGAATAGTTGGAATAGATTCTGTCAGGAGAGCCTCTTCACAAGCATACGGTTCTTATTTTCACACAAAAAGTTATTTCTTGGCGTATAAAATGAACATTACTCTATACTGCATTATTTTTTTTTAATTTGTGTGTGTGTCTGTACCGTCAAATCAGATCTGACTGGTACAGGAGGAGATTACCCCTCCTTCTCCAGCAGAGCGTCTGGTGGATTCGAGCCGTGCATTTCTGGGATTGCAGTGCAGCTTCTTGCCACTAGGCTACCAGAGCTCCCTTCTACTGCATTATTTAAAAAAAGTTTATGACAGAAAAATACTGTGGAGGGAACACTCATCAATAAACCAACGGAGCCCTTTCCCCCTTCTTCAGCTCCTTTGGCAGCATCCCCGTCGGCTCGCTCTCTCCTGGCCCTCTTGGCTGGATGGTGTGTCCTTCTTCTCTTTCAGGTCTCCAGGCTCTGGTTCTCCAGCAGCGCCTCTTTTGCATGTGAGTGTGGCTCAGGGCAGGGATTTGCCAACACCTTGGCTTGGGCACGGCTTCTTCAGTGCCTTCATGGTGTTTTCTTTCCTTTTGTCACAATTGGTACCCCCAGCGGTGTGAGGACAATGGTCCTGTGTAGGTGGAGCTCACTGGCATGGTGCAGTTAAAGCTAGGTTCTGACCTGTTATTCAATATGGTGGCGAGGAGTTGTAGTTGACTTGATGGCACCTAACAACAACAACAACAACAACAACATACCGATTCTAAGGAGCTCTGGGGATGCAATCCTGCTGACAGGGCATGGCAAAGGATATGTTGACTAGAGAGATCAATCAAAATTGGTTTTGACAAAGACTGTGGCAATATAACAATAGAAACTGACCCTCAGGGAATGTGGCTGTATGACAATAAAAACAGAATGCGGCAAAACAACAGACTCAAAGATAAGATAAGAGATGGCCAAAGTCACCATACCCATTAGAAGGAAGGAACCATCAGTGGTTTAAACTCCTTGCTCTGATAGCAAAAGATATAGAAACCCTTCTGTAAGATAAATAAAAAAACGGAGTCAGTCTGTCCTGGCCTCATTCATAGTGTGTTATGAACATCTAGTAAACCTCAGTTTCTTTCTCTTGTTGTTGCTGTTAGGTGCCATTGAGTTGAGTATGACTTAAAGTGACTCTAGGAACAACAGACCTGAACCCTGTCCTATCCTGTGCAGCCTCCCCATCTCCGACACCCTCAGGCCCATTGCTGAAGTCAGTCACTGTCTATCCACCAGGTTGAGAGTCATTTCCTTTGCCTTCCCAAGCATGATGTCCCTTTCCCAGGAATGACTTCTCCTAGCAACATTCTCAAAGTGTGTGAGATGACGCTTCCTCATCCGTGCTCACACGGAGCGCTCTGGCTGCCCTCTCTCCAAGGCATTTGTTTGTTCTTTTCAAAGCCCATGGGATATTCAGCACTCTTCTCCACAGATTCACCATAGTTAAAAGGCATCAATTCTTCTGTCACCCTTATTCACGGTACAGCTCTCAGCTGCATACCAGGTAACCGGAAAAAAATAATAAAAAAAAAAAGACCACATCCTGAAAAAGGTGCGCCTGAGTCCTCAAACTGACATCTTTACTCCTCAGGAATCTGGAGTGGTCCCTGACCAGACTTAGCGAGTGCAGTACGTCTTCTGATCTCCCGAATGCTGATGCCAAGCGTACTGATTGTGGATCCAAGTAAGATGAAATTGCTGACAGTCTCAACCCTTTCTCCGTCCATCATGATGTTGCCTATTGGTCTGGTGGCGAAGGTTTTCTTTCTTTCTTTTTTGTCTTGTTGTGTGCTGTTGAATCGGATCTGACTGCTGCAGGAGGAGATTGTCCTTCCTTCTCCAGCAGAGCATCTGGTGGATTCGAACTGCACGCCTTTGGGATTGCAGCGCAGCTTCTTGCCACTAGGCCACTAGAGCTCCCTGAAGGTTTTCTTTTTAAAAATATTTTTATTGGTTTTCATATAACAATTCCTTTAGGGTATGTTTTCGTCATTTACATTGTGTTTCATACAATCATTCAAATACATTTTATTTTACTTTTTTATTTAAATAAAATTCTTATTTTATACTGCTTTACTTACAAAGTTTGTATACATTGCTTTTCCTATTTCCTTTACTTACCCCTCACTCCACCTATCAAATTGCCCAACCCTTGACCCTTTGATTACCACTTCCCCACCACAGCCCACCTATCCTTACTGCTCCCACCCATCCAAACCCCTCTGCCTTCCTGCCCCCTCCCACTCGATTCTCATATATCTTTTACAATAATGGTCTTATACAGTATTTGTCCTTATGGGACTGCGTTAGTTCACTCAGCATAAGGCTCTCCAGTCCCTCCCAAGTTAGGTAGTGATGTACAAAACCATTGCTCTGGCATGCTGTGTAGTCTTCCACCGTGTGAATATACCGTAATTTCTCAATTCCTTCTATTGTGGTTGGACATTTGGGCTGTTTCCATGTTCCTGCAAACAGTGGAACAGCTGGGCCACATGGAATTTCTATGTTTAGCTTTCTGAGGAAGCGCCAGTGGTGAGGAGTTTTGTTTTCTTGACATTTCAAAGCCTCCTAACAGGCTGACTTTTTCTTGGTGTTTCAGACCCAGGCACTGAAGCATTTGCATATGCTGTCCTAAAGGTATGTGTGTACTTCTGTGAAATGTCTTTCTTCCCCTCGTGGGTCACATAAAGTAATCGGAAGTTAGCACGCTTGCTTTACCTCACCTCTCCCTAATAAAACTTCTCTGTGACCGGAATCTAGCCCAGGGCTCTCCACATTTTAGGTGATAAAATTCACTGAGACACCAGGGAAAGAAAGAATTTTTCACATCCTATTGATTTTACTTGCAAATATAAGAATCCCAACAGAATAGCTGGGTTGTTACTTTTCAACTAGTCTCTGTTCTGGTTTGGTAATCTGATCTCTCCAAGGCTACTTAAACCAAATTTTAAAGAAAGCTGATATTTTTTTCTAATCAAGTGTGCGTCAAGTGCCAGCTAGTGGATGTGAGATGTAATTTTTTTTTTACCTGCATCCATTAAGGCTAAGCTTCCGCCACATGCAGATGCCATAGAAGAGGACCCTACGAGAAAGAAACACGAGTTTTAAAATGTACTTTTATTATTTTTTAAATATAGAAAATTGTAAAAAAAAATATAGAAAATTGTTACTACTGCCTAACCCACAATCTACTGAGATACGTCCTCTAACATATTTGGCTATTTACATTAACCTATTAAAATGAAGAAAAACAATTTTTTAATTGTATTAATGAGACATGGAGAGAAAGAACTGTTTTATACTACTTTCTAAACAACTCATGAACCAGTGACGAGAGTCTGGTAGGGACATGATTAACCTATTTTCTCTTAAAATAATTTTGTGTTTTGTAAGAATAAACAGAGTGTGACATTACTCTAGAAAAGATGGGAAGCAAACAAAAGAATTTGCTGCTTTTCCACTAGGGAAAAAAAATTATTTCAATACCATTTGACTCTAGGACTTCAGACGTAACTCTTATGGTGAAAGGAAAATCCTTGGGGATAACAGGATACAAAGCTTTCTCGGCAAGAGCTCCTAAATGCAAACAGAAAACAATCAGCTAGAAATGCAGTAAGTCTTTACAAGAGCGTTACATTACGCTTCAAGATTTGTACTCACCATGGCCAAGTTCTCTCCTATTCACACCGGTAATTTTGCCAGTTTCATTAGTTGCATACGGAGGAAACTTAAGAAAACAAAAATACGTAACTGAGACGGAGAGATGTCCATGACATCTTAAAAGAAGAGAATAAAACAAGTCACAAAATAGTAAAATCGCACTTTTGTTAGTTACAAAAAAAAAAAAGCAAGTAACACAGAAAATGACTCGACATCTAAGAACACAGCAAGTAGCTAAAAGGGAGCTCTGCTGGCCTAGTGGATAAGGAGTTGCACAGCCAACCCAAAGGCAGCGGTTTGAATCCACCAGGTGCTCTGTGGGAGAGGGCCAGGCAGTGTCCCGTGTGGTCTATGGCATCCGGAAATCTGCTAGAGGATCAGATGATTTAGTTCTACCTCAGTGGCACATCATAACAGTTAAAACAAACAGCTAAAGCTAATTATTTCTAGTGTGTCTGTGACTCAGTAGGTGGGAAGCTGATGATTATGGAGAACGCTAAGTGAGAGACAGAGCTTCCAAATCTTTGCCTCCAGGGAACAGCTTGGCTTCACCCTCTCCAGGACAGACCTGTTTTTCTCCTGGCAGTCCATGGTATGTTCAACGCGCTCCAGCACCACAACTCAAAGGCATCCATTCTTCTTCTATCACCCTTAAGTCATTGTCCAGCTCTCTGATACATAGCAGGCAACTGCAAAGACCATGGCCTAAAGCAGGTGCGCCTTAGTCTCCAGACTGATACTGTTGTTCTTCAGTACTCTAGAGAGCTCCCTGATAGCAGACTTTTCAAATGCAATTCGTCTCTTGATTTCCTGACTGCTGGTGCCAAGAGTTTTGATTGTGGAACTAGGAGAGGGTGAATTCAAGTTGCTCCTTGGAGGCAAGAACGTTGATGCTCTCTCTCACATACTCTGGGCACATGGCGGGGGCGGGGGACCAGTCCTTGGACGAAAACATCATGCTTGGAAGGGTGGAGGGACAGCACAGGCAAGGAAGACCGTGGATGAGACGGACTGACTCGGTGACTAGAGAAATGGGATTAGGTCTGCCAGAGATGATGAGATTAGCTCAGGGCAGGGCAGGGTTCAGAGGGTACATCTGGTTGCTATGAGTCACAGGTGACTTGATGCACATAACAATAATATACTATAAGTTTCCATGTTTGTGGTATCAATAAAAATATTTTCAAAATGAAAAATACATACATATTTTAAAAAATTACATATTGAGGACATCCAGCTCTTTTCCCTAAGGTATGCTCACTTACATGCTGAGTAGTGGGAATTAATAATTGAAAAAAAAAACATACTCTAGTCATAGTGTGCAAGTGGTTTTACATGAGAAATATTTTGTTCCAGTGAATTAGTTGCAACCATTTGAAACTTAAATTTCCCATAAAAATTTTCTATTTGTTTCTTGAACTGTTTCAGAACACACACACACACACACACACACACACACACACACACAGCCGAAAAAGGGAGAATTAGAACACAAATTGGATCAATCCCTTCTTTCCAGAAGCCAATCTGAATGTGAGAGGAACTGAGGAAAGTGCTGAAGGGCTTCCTGAGTGTACAGGTACAGTCACATCCAGGCCGTGGGGAGACTGCAAGTCACATGACTCTGGGGCGTCAACAGACAAGAAAAGAATGTGATGGCGTGAGACACCCACATTACAACAGACTTGAAAAAGTTTTTGTTTCAATAGTTAAGGTACAGAATATAGTTATCTAGGACTCACATTCAAAATGCTAAGATGTAATTGGGTATATAGGTATTCACTATAAATTTCTTTCAACTTTGTTTTTCTCTAACAAAATGTTGGGGAAAATTCATCTTACCTCATAGTGCAGCATGAAATTCTTATCTTTTATTCCACTACAAGTGAAAAATCATTCATGTTAATAAGCATATCATATAGAAGCAAACAGTTTTCCAATTAAAAAAAATCTTAGGGGAATTAAAAAGCACAAGTGCAGGGTCAAGGAGAGGAGAAGGGAGGAAAAAGATATATGTATGGTCGAACGAATGAATGAAGGAAAATGCAACCTTTTCGTAAACTCTCACTAACACCACAATTAACAAAAAAGGGGGAGGGAACACACAAACAATCAAAAACCAAAAACCCAAACAAAACCTCAAAAGCCCCCAAACTGAATAGGTTATTAATGACAGGTGATTTGAAAGAAAACCCAGTAGTATTAGGAAGATAAATGCCAGATACATGTTAGGGTTCTTTTGAAGCGTATCCATGAGTTCTACACTGATTTACAAAATGCTTCAAACATGAAACTTAAATATCTAGATTTGAGTGTCAAGACAGTATTTTTTAATGAAAGTTTAAGAGACTTTGGATTTCCATTCATTCATTGTTGCACACTTTCCTCCCAGTCCCCCCAGTTCACTTTTCTCTTTGAAAAGTAAAAAATTCTTTGTTTTACAGTTCCCCGCTCCACCCCCCCCAGTCCACTCCACAACGCAGCTTTCATTCTATGAGGAATATATGATTAGTATTATTGACTGTAGACATTTTCAAGCATTAATAACGACTGAGGAATTTTAATGTTGCTTCACATTACACGAACATCAGAGTTGCGATTTTTCTTAAGAGTCAATGTGTGAACTGAAGAACAGTGACTGAAAAGGGACCACTGACCCTGCACCTCAGCACGCCTCCTTTGGAGTAACAACAAGTGTGATTCTCTGGGTAGAGAAACTGGAAAGGCTCTGAGTCACGGCAAACCTGCATGACCACAAACTCAGAGCTGAGAAAAGAGATCTGCACACCGTACTCCTACCGAAGATGGAAGGAAATCATAGGTCTTGGAGGAGGCAGATGTGGATCATGTGGTCCAGGATCCTCATTTTGCAAGAGAAGGAAACCAGGGCCACTGTGGCTGGACCAAGTCCATTAATGGCTGGGTGACATGAGGGCTGCCCTCACAGTTAAAGACAGACAGACGACTAGAAGTCAGGAGTGCCCTGGTCAAGCCTGGTGCTCCTTCTTCTTAAGCTGTGTTGCCTTCCCTCTGAGAGAGCCAAAGTGAAGTGAACAGGGCCAAACTCTGGCCAGAACGCGATCCATACTACAGAGTTTCAGAAAGTATGAGAATTCTTGCTTTATAGACAGAGCTGTATTGTCCATGAGATATATGATAAAATTAAGGAGTCCTCGTGGCTAAGTGGTTGGTTGGTAACGAAAAGGTGAGAGGTTTGAACCCACCAGCTGCTCTGCAGAAGGAAGACAGGGCAGTCTGTCGTCATGAACATTATGGCCTTGGAAGGCCTAGAGGGTAGGGCTATTCTGGGCTAGAGGGTGAGTAGGAGTCAGGGTTGACTTGACAGCAATAGATTGTCTTGAAGACACTGGGGATGATGATAAATTGGGCAGCAGAAAGAGGGAGGAGAAGAAGGCAGAGTCCTCTGGTCTTCTCAGACACTGAGGAAGAGGAAGCCATTGAGGAAGAAAACAACTGTGAGTCCTAGGACTGAAGCAGTAATGCGGTGGGACTGAAAGACAGATTCTCATCACCTAAAACTGATCAAGCTCATTTTACTGCTCACGTTTTAGGAACAGGGAAGGAGTCAAGTACTCATGGGACACAAGAGCAAATGTGTCTTGTGATTACATGTCTTTAAATTTCACAACAGTCTTCACATGCTTTTTACTAGCAGGGACTCTTGCCATGATTTATTTACTCTTTTGAGTAAAGAGTCATAGAGGAACATTCATTCCAGGTTACCCAGGTAATCTGCCATGAGGAACGGTTCTGGAGATAGAATAAACGAAAGAAGAAACTCCCTTTACATAATGAAATGGTTTGCCAGTATTTATCCACAAACCAGTGAGTTAGATGACAATATAAAGTAAAGCCCAACAAACAAAACTCTTGAAGGTAACTTAAAATCGGGCTTTTGATTAGTTCTTTCTTCATGCTTGATGGACTACACCAAAACAGATCTGTATGTGTAAAATAAAGGCTGCTGGAACTATAGTGTGAGTGGGAAAAACAGGTCAACAGTTTGTTGTTAGTGGTGTGTACCATCGAGTCGAACCGACCCATAGCTGGCCCTTCAGCAGGTTTTTAGAGGCTGTTAATTAGATGGGAGGAGACTGCTCATCCTTCTCCCACGGAGTGGCTAGTGGCTTTGAACTGTGTGCCTTAGGGGCTGCAGTGCTGCTTATTGCCACTAGGCCACTAGAGGCTAGACATTTAATCCAAGTGTGCACATTGCAAATCTCTTGAATGGCAGAGGCAGTAGCGGCGGTGCCTGGCTCCCAGACGGCAGCCACCACATTGCTGTGAGTGTGTGTCACTCTCCTTAGTCCTGCCTCCAGTCCAGTCTCCTGCACCAGACTCCTGGAGCGGTTCACCACACCTCTTTAGAGTCTTCCATTCCAGGACTTCAATCTCTTAAGTTTTTCTGTTCAGGTTATCTTTCTGGCATACCCACATTATACAAATTTGGGTCTGTTTCAATTTCACTGCAATGGCCATGACTCAGTTCTCTGCTTAAAAATCCCTATTAGGTAAACAGAAAAGTGAAGGACAGAGATCCTATTTCTTTTTTTAAAGTAATAATGTAATTCATTAACTTGTTCACAGCTTTAGTTTGCTTGGCTCCCCAGTCAACACTCTCGGCACCAGTAGCCAGGAAATTAAAAGACGTATTGCAATGGGAAAGTCTGCTGTTAGACCTCTCCAAAGTACTGAAGAGCAATGGTGTCTCTCTGGAGACTAAGGTGCATCTGATACAAGCCATGGTCTTTGCTATCACTTGTTATCATCAGAGAGTTGGACAGTGACTAAGGAGGATAGAAGGAGAATTGATGCCTTTGAGCTGTGGTGCTGGAGAAGAGTATTGAGAATACCATGGACTGCTAGGAATACAAACAGATTCATCTTGGAAAGGGTTAAACTGGGCGGCTCCCTGGAGGCAAGGATTCTGAGGCTCCGTCTAACATACTTTGGACATGTTGTAAGGAGGGACTGGTCCTTCGAGAGGGACATCATGCTTGGTAGGGTGGAGGGACAGCGCAGGAGGAAGGCCCTCTATGAGGTGGACTGATTTAGTGACTGGGGTAATCGGGATGGGAGTGTCAGAGACAGTGCAATTGGCACAGGATAGAACAGGGTTTAGGGCTGTTGTACATAGGGTCGCAATGAGTTGCATGCGACTCGATGGCACATAACAACAACATCATATGTTTGAATGCCATAACTGAAAACATACTAGGGAGCTCTGGTGGCCTAATGGCAAAAAGCTGAACTGCTATCCCAGATGTATGTGGTTTGAATCCACCAGATCCTGGAGAAGGAGGGGCAATCTCCTCCTGTACCAGTCAGATCTGATTTGCCAGCACACACACAAAAAAGAATAAAAAAATTAAAAATAAAAAACCAAACAAGCCAAAAACAAAAACAAAACAAAAAACCAACCAACAAAAAACAAACCACAAACATATACTTACTTTATAGCGGTTATAATTCTATCAGATTTAATACTGGATTCTAATGAATCAAATGTAACTGTACAAAGCACCTACAAAGGAAAAGAAGAAAAAGGTCTCAGGCCTTTATAGACTCACAACAAAAATGAAAACAAAGAGTTTGAAGAATCTAATTAGCTTTTAAAGTAAACACCTTTTATATAAAGCTTATCGCTGGACTTAATAAACTAATCATGTATTCACACCATAAATAACACATGGTATGCATAAATTTCAATGCAAGGCTTCAACAAGACACAGATTATATATAATGAGTACTATGTGTGAAGTACTGGGAGAGGAGGGTAAATAAATCAGGTATGACCACTGCCTCAAGAAGTGTACTTCAAATAGTTAGAAAAGTATCTTAAGAAATTCATTATGCAAATTTGAAGGTACAATTATAATGGCCTTAAAGCAACAAGCTATCTGCTTGTAAATCTTTGAATAAATGCTGTGATGACAGCTAAAAAAAAAAAAAAATCAATGCTCTCCATTCAAAATATATTTTTGTTTTTAAAAATTGTCTAGAACAGTTACTGCTGTTGGTTCAGTTAGCCTTTGATCAAAGGTTGTGACATCAGTGAATTAAGTAACAAACATACATATACACATACACTAAGACTCAAAAGTGACAACTGTCAGTATATAAAGAATTAGGAGAATCAACTGTAGTTAAAGATAATACCTTCCTCATAGAAAATGACAGACCACAATGATAAAATGCAACGAAAATATACAGTAACAATGCATTCAATCTATAAATAGACAATGAACTTCACACAAATTATATACACATTTCTCTAGCACATTGCTAAAACAGGCCATAAAGAAAGTTAGCAATGTAAGCATTTCATATGATATTGTGTTCACTGACCACAATGCAGTTCAAATTAGAAACAAATCATAAAGTTCATAATATCATGAGATTTGGACAATAGGCTTCATCAAAAGACTAACATTGAAAGAGGGGGTAAAAAAATAGACCTACCAGGACTCCTGACAGATGTAAATAAACACTATCGACAACGTGGCAACATTCTGGGCTGCTAACCAAAAGGTCAGTGGTCTGAAAGCACTAAATTCTCTGTGAAAGAAAGGCAGGCAGCCTTGTCCTGTACAGATTTACAGCGCTGGAAAATCAATGTGGGGGATTCTCTTTGGAGAGAGAACCGGTGACTAGAATGCGTCATCTACGAAGCGGCCTTGGAGAAACACTGACTTTCAAAGATCAAGTCTTTTGATCCAACTACTAGTTTATTAGAAAGGGAGGGAGAACTCAATCATAAGCAGAGATGTCATCAACGAAACCTAGTTCATGGAAAACCACACAGGATAAATAACCTGGTTTCTTTAACAAACTAGGAGGGAAGAAAGAGGAGCCGAGATGAGATCTGTACACGGGCAGAGACTCAGCTGAAATACATGAATCCAAAGAGGATCCTGATACAAACAAACAGTTTCTGTCTGGGCTGGCTGCGTGCTGTGGGACATTTAGTACCATCCTGGCCAGAGCCCATTAACCGCCAGCAGTGTCCCTTCATCTTTCTCCTGATGAGAAAGCCAGACATATCTCCAGGTACTGTCAAACGCTCCTTGGTCTAGACACTGTAATAAAGTACCAAATAAAAACTTGAAATAAGAGAAACCGAAAAGGGAAACCATTAAACACTTGAAGTTGGAAAAGAATAAAAATCTTCTGTATCAAAAATTGTGGGAAATGCCTAAAACAGTACTTATAAGAAAATTTGTGAATTTAAGTATAGTCATAAGAAAATGTTTTAAAATGAGTGTGTCAATAACTCAGGACTAAAGAAGACTTAGTTTATCGGGTCGGAGGGTTGGAGAGATACCCGAGTTCATCAGCCAAATACTGGGTTTATGGCATCTTTCCACTCTCCTAATCTACCACACAATGCCTTTGGTTTTAAGGGCCTGCAAGTGGGCTGCTATTATGGACTGTCACGTCAGAACCGACTCAGAGCTGGCCCCCCAGTGGGTTTTCAGAGTCTGCTAATCACACAGGAGGAGACTGCCCATCTTTGTCCTCCAGAGCAGCTGGTGGATTCCAACTGCTTTCCTTTGGGTTGGCAGCACAATTCCTTCTCCACTAGGCCAACAGAGCTCCCGCAAAGGGTACACTAATTGGTCTCTATCTGCCTGAAGAAACATTAGTAGAAGTAACAGGAAGAAAAAAAATGCATGATTAATTGCCTCCATGAGCAACCGCCTCTGCTGCTGTGAAAACTGGAAGATACGGTTCAAGGTGCCTGGCTACCACTAAATGAACATTCTGAGCAAAGATTCTTCTGAGAAACCCCAAGCGAAATATTTGCTATCTTACGGTGACAGTTTCTCAGTCACAGGAAAGGCAAAACGGACCAAATCTGAGTTGAAATACATGCAGAGTATTGTACAGCAATTACTTTTAGTCAAACTGCTAAAAAGTATTTTTTAAAATTTCAAAATATTAATCTGAACAAAGAACACATTTCACGATAAAAATCATGCTACACGTTAGCATACTGTTTTAGATCCAATTCATGAAAGGATTCGAATATTGTCTCTGCTTCTATTACCTGTGTTTGTCCCCTTTGAAATAGCGATGATCCATGAAGAGTTTTAAACATGTCTACTTCACAACTTATATCCCTAAGTGAAGTCAAATCACGACCATCACATCTATAGTAATAAAGGAAAGAAATAGGTAATATAACTGTATGAGAAATTGAAAAAAAATCACATATTATTTCTAACCCTACCAGGAAGTTCTTAACTCCAGCTAGGCAACATAATCACTAAAACACACACACACACACACACACACACACACACACACACACAACCCAGCACACATATGTGTGTGTGTAGACACACACACAGACACACTTATCGCTTCCAAATCAGACTGACTTATAGCTGACCCTCAAAAGGGTCTTCAGAAGCAGTAAATCTCACACGAGGAGACTGTCAGTCTTTCTCCTGAGGAGCAGCTGGTAAGTTTGAACTATGTGTCTTTGGGTTGGCAGTGCAACTCCTAACCCAGCAGGCCACCATAGGTCTAGAGTTCACCAGCAGAACTTTAAAAGCTATAAAGATACCTGAGCATTAGCCTGTGACCCACTGAATCAGAATCTGACGGGTTATGATTCATGTACCTGCATTATTCAAAGTTCACTATAGAGAATTCTGATATACAGCTAGCATTGTGAACAATTTATACACACACACACACACACACACACATACATACAAATACACATAATCAAACAGTCAGGTGGCCAGGTACAACCACACAGCCCACATAGTCATTCTTTGACAGAGAAATGTCCAGTGACAAAATGAATAGAACCCTTTACTATTGTGAAAAACAAAGAGGGTTATTTGCTTTGGACAGGTTACATTGAAGGACAACCTGCAGACAGCTCATGCTTCAATTCCATCATAAAAGGATAGGTTTACCTTTTGTATTCATTCAAAACAATACTTTTAAAGACCTCCTTTGAAACAACATTGAAAGATTCTATTATTTCATATGGCTCAGCCTCTGGAAATTTTTCTATAGAAGAAAGACAAACAAAAACCAGTTTTCTATTTTTGAAAAACAGAAACTCCAAGTTCAGAGCATCAAATGAATAGGAATCAACTGGGGGAATTGACATTGAACATAAAGTGGGCAATATCAAATGTTATCAAGCAGGAAAGACACACCAACTGTGTTGTACCTAAACCGTACTGCACTCCTTTGTTTTTTTACCAGCATCAGCTGCCTGCAAATCCACCCAACAGTATTTTGAAAAGGCCTAAATGACAGTTTTCAGAGTTGTTTTGTACTGTCTAGTTGGTAAGGACTCACAGCTGACCCTCTAGTAGGTTTTAAGAGACTGTAAACAGCACAGGAGTTGACTGTCCATCTTTCTCCCAAAGAACAGCTGGTGGATTTGAACCATGCACCTTTTGGGTTGGCAGCAAAATTCCTTACCACTATGCTACAAAGAGCTCCCTTTTCAGATCAGTAACCTTTCTTCTGTATTAGGAACTTTGATCTTTATCTACAAATGGTGGAACTCTCTTCTTCATGGAATACAGATCAACATTTCTATTCTAGTTTATCTTCAAGATTGAATTTTTGGTACAAGTTTACACAACAAGTGAGGCTCCCATCTGTCAATTTCCATATGAACGGTTTGGTGCCACTGGTTCTATTTATCATAATTTAGTATGTTGATCGTAATTTATCAGAGTGTTGATTCTCTTGTGTTCATTTTGTTCCTTCCAGTGCTGTCATTTCCTTCCCCTATTTTCACATCTTTGGTTTTGAGTAACTGCTGATTTTTGGTCTCACAGGGAGAGCTACAGTTGTCGCTAGGTGCTGTGACTCTGGTGCCCATGTACAGGGACCCGGCACAGAACGTAAACACTGCCTGGTCGTGCGCCATCCTCCGTCACTGCCGTCTGCTGTTCATTGTTGCCAGTCCACCTCACTGAGGGTCTTCCTCTGACCTTCTATCTTCCCATGCCTCTGTCTTCTGATGCCTCCAAGTCCATGAGATGAAACCTGGCCAACCCTGCTTCTAACGAGGATTGTGGCTGCACTTTACGCCCAACAATCCACGGTTTGTTCACTATTCTTCACCAACACCATAACTCAAATACATTAATTTATTGGTCTTCCTTATTTCTTGTTCAACTTGCATGCACATATGGGTCAGGTGCACCAAAGACCTCAAAGTGACATGTATAGATCTTAGTTAATACACTAATTAAAAGACACCGTGGTGGAATACCGTATTATGTGTTGAACTGATAACTTTAAGGTTGGTGATTCAAACCCGGCTGCCGTTCCTTAGGAGAACAATTAAGCAGCCTCTTGTTAAGGTTTGCAGGGTCAGAAACCCTGTGGAAAGTCGTAATGGCTTGGAATGGACTTGACCACTGTGTGCGCTCATTTTTTGGTTTGAGGTTTAGTGAGCAGCTTGGTAAACACTTCTGAATGCATGTTGCTATTTGATAGGGGCATGTGTAACTGAAGGAATCTTAAGCAATCCCATCAACCCCCGGACTGAGTATCACCTTGGGACATGGGCGTCCTGCTAATTGAAGGGAGAACTGGTGGCTTGGTGGAAAGGAATTGTGCTGCTATCACGGTTTGAATCTATGTGAGTTAGGGTCTCTGAAAACACTCTGGGAGGAACAGCTGTGGGTTGGCTTCGACTCAATAATTGTATTAAGGGAGCTCTGGTGGCTTAGTGGCAAGGAGCTGCACTGCCAGCTCAAAGACCCACAGTTCAAACCAACCAGCTGCTCCAAAGAAAGACGGGCAACCTCTACCCTTGCAATTTACTACCTCTGAAAACCCGATGGAGGGCCAGTTCTGATATGATGGAACGTGGAACAAGAACTGTATTAAAGTCTATTATTGCAAAAGAAGTTTGGAGGGTGGAGGGAAGGATTGGTAAAGGAAAGGGGGGAGGTCCAGTGTGAAAAACAATGTATATGAACTTTGTAGGGAAACCAGTATAAAATAAAAATTTTTAAAAAAAGAGAGAGAAAAAAAATACTGTCAAGGCAATAGAAAGAAAAGTCTGGACTTTTTTTCCTTCTACCATCTTGAGCCCAGGAGAGAGTGTTAGGCTATCACTGTGAATTGCTCTGAAAGGGAATATAATAGAGGATCTTAGCTGGGAGCAGGAGAATGTGGAACAAAACTCAGAATCTTAAAAATGGTCAGGCTTGCTGGTCTTACAGAGGTGGAGGCCTTCAGACCGAGGCCTTTAGTCATCCTTTATGTCTGGATCTAAACTCAGCTTTCTGACAAACAACAGACAGGCCTATCAGGTGAGTAAATAGAGGGCATTATATCTAAAAGGCGGCATCAGCCCAGGGACAATGCTCAGAAGGCAGGGGGTATGAGAAGCCAAATTTCATACTAAATATTTGTAATAAACCAAATGCTACTTCAGGTTATGAGGGAGGCTGGTACAAGCTGGAATTCACTCTGAAGCACTAAGGCAATTCTCAAGTTTACAGGATTCTTGTATTGTATTTGCTAACCCCTCCCTCCTGAGTCAAGCAGAAAGTTTTTCAATAGAAAGAGCTTAACTTCATTTGCATTGAATTCTCTTGGTGATTTGCTCCCTGGCAATTTTCAATAAAGACACAGGGAAGCTAAGGACCTAATTCAGTTAGCTTCACATATTTAAGAACTGTTAGCCTCCTGCTTTACCTGTTTTCTCCTCCATTCTTGGTGTTCTGTCTCGTTATTAATACTTGTTAATATACTTTATCCTTGGTCTGCAACAAAAGGGAGGGCCTAGGAGGATGAAGGACATAACAACCACAGGGAGGAAGCAGAACTGTGCAACTACAACGGAGGGGTCACGACCAATGTCATAAAACAAAATGTGTATGAATGGCTAGTGGAAGTCCAATTTGCTCTGTAAAGTTTTACTCAGTCACAAAAAGTTCTAAAAAAAGTTACCCCCTTTCATTTAAAAATGACTTAATTACTTAAAAAGAAAGGAAAAAAAGCCTTAATTATGGAAAACACATAGTGTAAAAAAAAAAATTCCAAGCGTAAAATGATTCGGCATCGAAAAGCATCAGGGTGATAGTCTGAGCTCCCTGCTCCGTGTAGTTTTCATTTGTGTGCGTTCCGTTCTGTTTTTACAACATTTGAGTCTGTTCTCTGTTTCTCCCATTCTCACCAGAACCAGCTCTGGTGACGTCTGTCACGTGGTGTCGGCAGTAGCTGGGACCACTTGGTTTTTCTGTTCTCAGGCCAGAGGAGTCTGTGTTGACTTGTTTCTTCTCTGAGGTTTTAGCTGTCTTCTTACTGTTCTGCTCCCAGAGGAGAGATGTGTAGCTGCAGGGTGAATGGATGTTCACAAGCTTTTATGGTGGTGGAGGCAGTGTCCAATCTGCTTTAACTTCACAAGGGACAGGGAGAATCTCTACCAGCAGTGCGATGTTGATTCACAGAAGTTAGACATGCCTCTGAGCTAATCTTTTTACCAGTTCTGACACTAACTAACCCTCCCGTTACACTTTGCAACTATGTTCAGTAATTCAGTAACTGATTATAATGGCCACACAGAACTGAAATCATACTCGTGATGTTAAGGTTTATCAGGAAGAGTTAGAATTCAGGATCAGAAATGACTCAGGACCAAGTTCTCAGGTCAGTACAGCCTCTTTCCAGCTATGCCCACAGAAGGCCTCTCTCTCTGGCCTTTGGTCTACTAGCCCTTATCTCTTTCCTCCTGATCGGTAAGTTGTATATTTACTCTTTGAACGAATATAAATTTTTATGAGGTCCTATTTATTTTCAATTCTCTTATTTGTTGCATTATTCATTACCATTTCTTATTTATTTAGAAAAGATTAGGTCTCAGTTTTCTTCCTATGTTATCTTTCAGTAATGGTTTTTTTTAAAGTTTCATTATTTTTTTATGTGTACTGTCAAATCTAATCTGACAGGTACAGGAGGAGATTGTCCCTCCTTCTCCAGCAGATCATCTGGTGGATTCAAACCACTCACCTCTGGGATTACAGTGCAGCTTCTATTCACTAGGCCACCAGAGCTTGCCATCTTCTAGTAATTTTAAGGTTTTAGGTTTAACTTTTGGGTCTCTGATCCACTTTGAGTTTGTTTTGGTATATGGTGTGAGGTATGGTCTCATTTCATTATTCTGCAGATGGATACCACTTTGGTCAGCACCATTTATTAAAGAGAATGTTTCTACTTCACTGAATAAGCATTGACCCCTTGTTGAAAATCAGCTGTCCACAGAGGGCTGGGTTTAATCCTGAGGTCTCAATTTTCCTCTGCCGGTGTAGGTATTTATTGAAGCAATTCTGGGCTGTTCTGATTACAGTAGTTGTATAGGTAAGACGTCTCCTGTGCTGTTTTTCACTCTTCAATCTTGCTTTGATATTGAATTCTTCAGTATTTCTGCATTTCTTTCTTTCCCACATGAAACTGCTCATTAGTTTTTCCATTCCAATAAAAAATGTTGACATTTGTTTCAGGTATGCTTTGACTCAGATCACTTTAACTGCCAGAAAACACACATTTTTATTATACTAATTAAATCACCAGTGAGTATAGGATGCCCTTCCGTTTTTGTAAGTCTCCTGCCATAGTGTTTTTTAATTTTCATTATCTAAGTCTTTTATGTTGCCTATCCAATCATCATTGCAAATTTACTTAAGGCAAAACATAGGAGCAATGAGAGAAAAAAAGACCAATGAAAAAGGAAAAGATTTTCTTAAGAGTCTCATAACTGAAATGAAAAAAAAAAAAAAATCTATGTCTCCTTTAAATACGGTTGTGAAATCACCTTTGAGTTGTTCCTCGGTATCTAATCTTATCTTGTTCACAGCTTCATCTCTGGAAACCTGAAAGAAAGCTATTGCTCAGTTATTACAGACATGGCAATGTCTACTTTATACTACTAGAGAAGAGCACCGAACATCCCACAGACCGCCAAAGGAACAAACAGATATGTCTTGGAGAAAGTACAGCCAGAGTGCTCCTTGGAGGCAAAGATGACAAAGCTTCACCTCACACACTTTCAACACATTGCTAGGAGAGGCTATTCCTTGGAAATGGACATGCTTGGAAGGGTGGCGTGTTGGCGAAGGAAAGAACGACTTCCAACAAGATGGAATGACACAGTTACTACAGCAATGGGCTCAAGGGTGTCAGAGATGATGAGGATGGCACAAGTTCCTAAGGTCACACTATGAGTTGTACTCAACTCGACAGCACATAACAACAACAATAACAATAACAACAATCACACATTATATGAGTACTCAAATTTCTCTAATGATAATATTCTTGAAGAAATCAGAACTGGTAATGGATTTAGAAGTAGTTTTCTACGTACGATTAGTTGAAATATGTTTGTATATTTCCCCGAAAACTTTCATTAATATATTAATTTACTAAAAGAGGGCAGAAACAGTGGAGCTGCAAATCTCCTGGGTTGTTTTAGCTTTTTTGTTAATAGATGTTTGATAAAAACAGACCCAATGTTCACAAACAATACAGAACTATGTAAGAAAAACAGAATTCCTAGAATAATGATGTATGACAAAATCCAGTTATACCTACTTTATCATGTTCATAATCTGTAAAAACGGCATACAGTTTTTCCACGGCAAGTCTGTTTGAAGCACAAAATAACTGTTAGCATATAATATTTGCAAGCATAAAAGTTTCTTTTGCAAACAAAATGGAAATATTTAAAATAAGTTAAATACTGAATGAGACACATCCCAAAAAGAACTAAAATATATTCAATTTTTAAATAACTTTTGCTAATCTGTTTTCTATAAAATGATATAGAACACAAATTTTAATAAACATAATGTTGTTGTTCTGTTATGTTGAATCAGAATCGCCTCATAGCTGACCTTCCAATGGGTTTTCAAAGACTGTAAATCACATGGGAGGAGACAGCCCAACGGTGTCACATGGAGAAACTGATGGAGTCAAACCATGTGCCTTTGGGTTGGCAACGCAATCCCTTACCACAAAGCCACCAGAGCACAACAAACAGTCAATTAAAATATGTGCAAGAGTAAACACACTCCTCACAAGTAACAACTAAGCCATATGATGGAATTTTTGCACTTCAATTAAATGAAGAAAATATAAAAGTACTTAGAAGCGAATATTAAGGGCAACTCTTTAATCATGTGGGGGAATGAAGGAAAAAAATTTAAAAAAGTCACTCTCTTGAACAAAGGGATGACTTACACAGATTTCTTTTTTTAAAATTTCTGACTGATGGCCAAGGGACTGACACTAATAGAAAACATACTTTTCATGTTAATTCAAATAATATGAAATACATATGTGGTGATGAATTTATACTTAGTAAGTGCCTGCCTATGTACCAGGCACTGCTCTAAATACTGGGCATGTGACATGTGGTATTTGGTGGTTACACGTGATCTCTTTTGAGAACTTCAACAGCCTCCAAAGATAACTCACTTTGAGCTGTATTCTCTTTTTCATGACAGACAAACATTTAGGGACTATTTGCATCTCAAACATCTGGCTTATTCCTTCCTGGAGAGTCAAACGGTTAGGTTTAAATCCTTGTTTGCTCATTAGACCTGGTGTTTAATGACTCTTTTTTAAAATTTTATTTTGTTTTTATTTTTTATGTGTACCATCAAATCAGATCTGACTGGTACAGGAGGAGATTGCCCCCTCCTTCTCTAGCAGAGCATCTGGTGGATTTGAACCACGTACCTCTGGGATTGCAGTGCAGTGTCTTGCCACTAGGCCACCAGAGCTCCCTGTTTAATGACTCATAAAATGGAGAAGTTCTATTTACGAAATCAAAGGCAGGAGGTTTGAGTCCACCAGCTGCTCTGACGGAGAAAGATGGACAGTCTCCTCTGGGGCAATGCACTTGCTGGCGGGTCAGCTAGGACTTGGTTCTGATTCAACAGCAGTGCATTCAAGGTTTTGGTTTTCTTTTTTAAAAGTATCAAATAATGGACATACACAGATTCCACAGGGCCGTTTTCCCCGAGAGGAATGAAATCTGGCTGAGTGTCTTATTTCCCATTACACAAACAGGCTCACTTACTTCTGAGTGTGTTTCACAATCTCTGGTGAAGGGATAAATAACTTCTGAGGTGTCCTCTTGGGAATACCAATCTCCTTTACCAACTGCTGGATGCTCTGAATTATTTGCTGGGTGTGCTTCATTCCTACTTTGATCGCATGGCAAAAATCCTGCTGTAAAACGTTCTCCGCGGAGGCTTCCAACATGACTAATTAAGGGGGGGAAATGACACCGATTGATCCCTTGGAACTTTTAAAAAAAAATTTAGTTACTAATTTAATGAAAGTATACAGAGACTTAGGGTTTCCAGTCATTCATTGTTGCCCTTTTGTCCCTGCCCACCCCTTCCCACCCAATCAGTCTCCTTGAAAAGAAAAAGAAAAACTCTTTCATTGTTATACAATCCCTCCCCCCAAGTCCACTCCACTGTGCAGCCTTCACTCTGGACTTCTGTAAGGACAAGAATACCCATTCATATGTCCCTTTTAAAGAGATCTCTCCCGCATCTGTTTCAATGCAGTATACATCATTCCTCTCCTCCTTCTCTGTCTTCCCTCAACTCTGATGTCAGTCCCATTTTACAACAGTGCCCCTATGCAATATTTGTCCTTTTGTGACTGAAATATCTCACTCAGCATAATGTTCTTCAGGGTCACCCATTTTGTATAATATTTCATGAGTTCCTTGTTTTTCAATGCTGCATAATATTCCATTTTGTGAATATACCAGTTTCTCTATCCACTCGTTTGCTGATCAGCACTTAGGTTGTTTCCAGCTCTTTGATATTGTAAACAAAGCCATAAAAAACATGGGTGTGTATATATCTGCTTGGGTGGCAGTTATTGTTTCTTTAGGGTAAATTCCCAGTAGTGGAATTGCTGGGTCAAACGGTATTTCTATTTGCAATTTTTTGAAGAAGTGCCATATAGCCTTCCATAGTGGTTGCACCATTTTACACCCCCCACCAGCAATGAGTAAGGGATCTGATTTCTCCACAACCTCACCAGCATTTGATGTTTGCTGTTCTGTTAAATCTTCCTATTCTTACTGGGGTGAGATGATATCTCAGTTGTTCACCTAGGAACTTTTTACCAATATAGCATTTCAAACAATGTGACATGACAAAAATAATGCAAATTCCTTTTATTCTCAGTGGTATGTCCACCATTTAGTTTCTCTCCTCAGAATAAATGTACCTCAAAAGTAAAAATACAAAATAAATGGGCAGAGAAATCTTGATACTTAGATTTGTATTTGCTCATATTTAATAAGTAGCATATACTTCCTAAGCAACATGCCTCCAGAAAGTCTACAAACTTTGACAAATGTTGATAGCTGTAGAGGGGCTTTAGGCCTTTTGTTCACAGGGTCACTATGAACTGTACTCGACTCAAAGGCAATCAACAACAACAACATATTTAATGAGATAGAGAAATTGATATGATTTATAATACAAATTTAAATTTATATGCACCTAATTGAATATGAAGGGAGCTCTGGTGGCCATGTGGCAAGAAGCTGCGCTGTAATCCTGAAAGCACATGGTTCAAGGCCATCAGCTGCTCCATGGGAGAATGAGGGGCAATCTCCTCACATGAGATTAACTGCCACTGCCTCTGAAAACCCACTGGAGGGTTAGCTATGGGTCAGTTCCGACTTGATGGTACACAACAGCAACAATAACTGAATATGCACCAGAGAGCAGGACAATGACTAGCAATGACAGAATAACTGGGGTAGTTAGGTCGGAGACAGTGAGAAAAGCTCAGGACAGGGCAGAGTTCAGAGCTATTGTACATCAGGTCTCAGGCAACTTAACAGCACAGAACAACAACAACTGAATAGACCAAACAATTGTTAAAGTAATGACATCTGTGGAAAAAGATGGTTGAAAAATTCAATACCAGCAGTCAAAACAACTACTCACAAGTTCAAATTAAAAGTGGAGAAAATGAAACAAATCCATGAGAGCCAAAATAGAAACTTAAGTTTATCCTACTTGGACTGAAAAAGCAACTCAAGAATTGATTTGATGCATTGAACATGACATCGTCCATGAAGCCAGCAAAAGGTCATTAGGAAGACAGAACAGAAAAGACAAAAATAGAAATCAGAAGAAACTTGAAACTTGTTCTTCAAAGTAGAGGAGTCAAAATACAGGAGAAATGATGAAGTAACAGAGTTGAACAAAATATTCCAAAAGGCAGCTCAAAAAGACAGTGTTATAATAAAACATGCAAAGAGCTGGAGTTAGAAAACTAAAGGCAAGAATACCTTCAGTATTTCTCAAACAGAAAAAAACCTAAAAAACAAATTCAAACCCTGAGTTGCAATAATTAATAATTCTATATGCAAAACACTGAATGATGCAGAAAGCATCAGAAGAAGATGGAAGGATTACACCATCATTGTGCCAAAAAGAAGTGGCTGACAAGAACCAACAGTAATGAAGGAAGAAGTTCAAACTGCACTGACTGAAGGCATTGGCAAAAAAAAAAAAATAGGCCTCAGGAACTGACAGAAAACACACACACACATAGACAAACACAGACCGACATACACACACGAGCATTTAAATGCTTATTATTTATATAGTATTTTATTATTTTGTGTGTGTGTACTGTCAAATTGCATCTGACTGGTACAGGAGGCCAGCAGAGCATCTGGTGGATTTGAACCGTGTACCTCTGGGATAGCAGTGCAGCTTCTTGCCACTTGGCTACCAGAGCTCCCTAAACGCATCTTTAGAACATTAGAACTAGCAGGCAGAATCAAGGTTGCACCTCGTCCTCTAAGCACTTACCGATCTGACTTCGAGGTGCTCCAGCAACCACCAAGTTCAATGTACTTGCTGACATTTCTTTGCGTGTAGGGTTAACAACACATTCTCCATCAATTATCCCGATTCGCACGGCCCCTGAAATGTATGAAAATATTGGCGAGTATTTAATCAAGTCTTCGTTTTCAAGATACTCCTCCAGTGATGTCTTCAATCCCCCATTCTTGATTATGACCACAGAAAAAAGTCTACCCTTCCATGTAAGGACCACAGAACATCTTTCTGTATCTCACCTGGCCTCGCTGGGTGACTGTGAGTCACTCAAACACACCATTCTCCCACATTTCTCTGACTGAGCTAGTGTTCTTCTCCTAGTCTAGAACGCACACCCTCTAAACTGAGTGCTCACCCTCTGGTCAAAGGTTCCGTTTAAATGCTAACCACTGAGACAGCTTACCCAGCATAAAACTAAGCCTGCCCCTCTTGAATTCTCTTTGCCTTTTACCTGTATTTTTATAAGCACTTTATTTACACAGAATCGTCTTCCTGATTCCCTTGCTTGTTGCTGTATGTCGAGTCAGAATGGAAACATAGCTGACGCTCCAGTGGGTTTTCAGAGACTAAACTGCAGATTGCCCATCCTGCTCTGGTGAGGCAGCTGGTAGATCTGAACTACATGCTTGATTCTCTTGTTTTTTGTTGTTGTTATGTGCCGTTGAGTCGTTTGTGACTCATAGCAATCCTATGTACGACAGCTTTGAACCCGGCTCTATCCTGAGGCAACCTTATCTTCTCTAACACACCTACCTCCATTACCCCAGTCACTGTATCAATCCAACTCATTGACAGTCTTCCTCTCTTGCGCTGTCCCTCCACCCTTCCAAGTATGATGTCCCTCTCCAAGGACGGGTCCCTCCTTGCAACATGCCCAAAGTATGTTAGATGGAGCTTCAGAATCCTTGTCTGCAAGGAGAAGCCTGGTTTCACCCTCTCTAGGATGAACTGTTTATTCTAAACAGTCCATGGTATATTCAATACTATTCTCCAGCACCACAGCTCAAAAGCATCAATTATCTTTCTATCACCCCCTAGTCATTGTCCAACTTTCTGATACACAACAAGTAACTGACCATGGCCTGGATCAGGCGCACCTTAGTTTCCAGACTGACAACACTGCTCTTCAGTACCCTCGAGAGTTCCCAGACAGGAGATTTCCCCAGTGCAATTTGTCTTTTGATTTTCTAGCTGCTGGTACCAAGAGTGTTGCTTGTGGAGCTTAGTCTCATTTATTTATTTTGGTGAAAACATATACTATCATTCAGTATCTTTCGCCTGTTAAGTACAATGCTACAGACAATATTTTTCATGCTGTGTCATCATTCTTCTCATCTCTCCCCTTAGAATTTTACCACCTTTAACATAAGACTCGAGACTCGTAAACTACCCGTCAGTGCATTAGTTATTGATGGCACTGAAGGCAATATGATCTGATGCTAAATTTGCTGAGTTTGAAAATGACTCCTTTTTTTTTTAAAAAAATTTTTGTGTGAGTGTACCGTCAAATCAGGTCTGACTGGTACAGGAGGAGATTGTCCCTCCTTTCCCCCCGCACAGCATCTGGTGGATTCAAACCGTGTGCCTCTGGGATTGTAGTTGCAGCTCCTTGCCACTAGGCCACCAGAGCTCCCCTTGAAAACTACTTCTTAAGATAATCTCAGTTCAAAGTTTAAAAAGTTTATTGGAGCAACAAGGTTGGTTCTCCTATCCTCAATAGTCCAGTAAGCCTAGATTTTATAAGAAATGTGAAGTTCAGTGGTCCATGTTCCCTTTTGTTTGACTAGGACTCATCTACTGAATTCTTAATCAAAGCACACGGAAATGGGTGCTGGCACCATCCACTTTACTCTTCAAGCCCGAACAGCTTCATTCCTCTTTGTGTTGCCAACATGTAGTTTGTTTTTGTTTTTAAAAGCTTACTAGTTACCAAACACTTCAGACTGCAATGGTTTATTGTTGCTGACTGCTTTTGAGTTGAGCACGACTCATAGCGACCCTATGAACAAAAGGCCTGAAGCCTTTCTATAACTTATCGACATTTATCAAAGTTCAGTTTTCAGAGGCATGTGCTTTAGGAAGTGGATGCCACTTCTGCTTCCAAATGGTTTACAAGAGGAATCATACTTTTTAATTTCATGCTTATAAGTTTAAGTTATAATAGCAACTTACAAGTTATAGTGTATTTACCATATTTAGTATATATATAAGATAAAGTTATAATAACTTTAAGTGACAAACATATGCATATTTTATCCAGGAATAGCATGCATTCCCAATTTCCCAGTCAATAAAGTCAAGTCCTTGGAAAAAAAATAGGTGCCTATAAATCACAGTTTCTAGGGAGATAAGTCCATAACAGAAATAAAACCCAAGGCAAGGATAAAATGTCAGGAAGAGCTGAAGAGTGAGAATGCCATTGTGCTCAATGTCCTACAGACAGAGGACTCGGAGCCAATGCCCAGGTTCAACCTCCTAGAGACACGAGGACTCGGAGCCGATGCCCAGATTCAACCTCCTAGAGACACAGGACTCGGAGCCGATGCCCAGGTTCAACCTCCTAGAGACACGAGGACTCGGAGCCGATGCCCAGATTCAACCTCCTAGAGACACAGGACTCGGAGCCAATGTCCAGGCTCAACCTCCTAGAGACACAGGACTCGGAGCCAATGCCCAGGTTCAACCTCCTAGAGACACAGGACTCGGAGCCAATGCCCAGGTTCAACCTCCTAGAGACACGAGGACTCAGAGCCAATGGCCAAGCTCAACCTCCTAGAGACACAGGACTTGGAGCCGATGCCCAGGTTCAACCTCCTAGAGACACGAGGACTTGGAGCCAATGCCCAGGTTCAACCTCCTAGAGACACGAGGACTCAGAGCCAATGGCCAAGCTCAACCTCCTAGTGACACAGGACTCGGAGCCAATGTCCAGGTTCAACCTCCTAGAGACACAGGACTCGGAGCCAATGCCCAGGCTGCAACATGCTTACTAGCACTCAGGAAAAGAAAATCACCAATAAAGCTTCTCACTTTCAGAGGGTAACTCACCAATGGGTCCATTCCAAGGAATATCTGATAATGACAGGGCTGCAGAAGCTTTAAATAAAAAAGAAACAACAGACAAAAGTAAGAGTGGAAAGAAAAGCTTTTCATTGCTTTTAAAATCAACAAAGCTGGCTTTATTTTCTATTCTTATACTTACCACCATTAATGGCTAGGATATCAGGTTCATTAACACCATCTACTGCTAACAGGTTACAAAGGACCTGGTACATAAGAAAAGACGTGATAAAGCGCTTTAAGCATCATCCACGTTGATTGTGGAGGGTCATCATTTACGTTCTCATCCGGGTCACAGGAGAAGCAGTTCCCGGGGAGCGGGAACGGTTAACACGCTTGCTGTGAACGCAGAGGATGGAGGGCAAATTCACTCACAGGCGCCTTGGGAGAGGGGCCCGGAGCTGTACCTCTGAAAAAGCCAGCCCTTAAAACTTAAAAGTCAGAGGTCAGCGTAGAGTTAGATTGTATTACTTTTAGCCTTTTAATTATTATTATAATGAAATAATTACTATTATTATTATTATTAATTATTATTAGGGTGACCTAGTGGTAAGAAGCTGCGCTAGGTTCCCAAAGGCTCATGGTATGAATCTACCAGCTGGTCCACCAGAGGACAGGCAATCTCTTCCTGTGAGATTTACCACCTCTGAAAACCCTCTGGAGGGTCAGCTATGTGTCGGTTCTTTCACGACGGCACACTCCAGAACCAGCACCATCATTATTTTCAGAAGGGAGCTCTCATGGCCTAGTGGGAAGGGATCGCGCTATCAACATAAAGGCAGGCAGTCTGAAATCACCAGCAGCTCTGTGGGAGAAATACAGGCAATCTCCTCCCCTGCAAGACTAATGTAAAATAAAACAGGAGCATCAGGGATATTTACATTGTATTCTTCATGATGCTGCACAGAGGATGTGTTCTAGATTGTGAGTAATTTATTATTTCGCTGGAATCAAACAAATCTAAATTGGAAGGGAACTAACTTAGTCTCATAAGGACAAATACTGGGTAAGACCATTATTGTAAAAATAGAAGGATAACTAGTAAAAAACATGTATGGGGATGCAAAGGGGGAATAGGTGGGGGCAGAGGGGTGAGAATGGGTAGGGATGAAATCACAGAGCTGCACAATTTGGTGGGTGGAGAGAGGGAGTAAAGGAAACAGGAATGGCCAGCGGGGACCTGAAAAGACAGGGTAATGGTGGGCATAGTCCAATGGTGATTAATTTTGTAAAACATAATGAATGGGATGTATATATGAAACACAATGTGAATGAAGAATAGTGTGAGACACAATGTATATGAACTTTGTAAGCAAACCAGTATAAAATAAAAAAGAAAAACCTGTTATGGGAACCTACCTGTGTATCATAGAAATAGCCAGCTGGAAAGAGAGGCCTGATGGAACGATCTGGGGGAGAAAAAAGGACATTAGTTCATACTGTGAGACTCGCTTTACATTCATATAATTTCCCTTGTTAAACAACTAGCTAAAAAAGAATACAACTAGCTATCAGACAATAAAAAAACCCCAAAACATAGAATCAACTCAGCGGACCAACTTACTGAGGGAGATATAAATAAACGCCAATTTTCCAACAACAGCATTAACAAAACTAGCAGGCAGAAGCTCATCAGTCTAAAGACTGGTGATCAACTTTTCATGTTGATTCCACAGACATCAGTTATAGGTAAGAAGAAAGAGTTAAGGTAAGAGCAGAAGAAAAGAACATTCTTTCTTGATACTTTGTATCTGATGAACATGTCAAAGGATACACAAACTAGTCATTTTTGAGGCTATTTCCTGGACATTTGAAGGCATTCCCCCCCCCCCAAAAGCTCAACTTGAAAATTTATATCATAAATAATTCCCCAATATTTAGAGATGTAAAATATTTGAGACATGCTAGCCGTGGACCCACAGTTGAGGAATACAATGCTTTTAGGAATCATTATGCTGATTAGGAAAATAAAAATGTACCAGGCCAGATTCAACAGTGTAGAGACATGGGCCACAGAATTCGGCTACAGTCAATAAATAGTTTCTGGATGGGTATAATGTGCCAGGTGGTATGGCAGGGAGAGGAGATGCAGGCATGAACAAAGAGAAAGTTCTTCCTCTCAGAGTTTATACATGAGTAAGAGGTTGAGAAAGTAAGTGGTCTCAGGTGGTATTAAAACAATGAAGGACAATTCAGGACATCCTGGAGAACACAGGAAGAGAAGAGATGCTAACCCAGGAGCCCTCAGAGGGCTGATACGTCTCTGTTCCGTATCTTACCTATAACTCGACTAGTAAGAATTTCTTTATCAGAAGAACCAATCTCTCTTCGCAGATAGTTTGTGGGAATTCTACCCGCGGCAGCAGCTTTCTGTCTGTAGTCAACCTAAAAGCAGAGAGGAAGTTCCCATGATTCATTCGGCAGTAAAAAAAAACAACCCTCACTTCAGCAACCACCACCCAGATACTAATTTTCCCCCAAGTGCTAAGATAAAATTCCAGAATAAGAAGAGAATATTTCTTTTTACTTAATGGCAATGAGGTTTAAAGTTAGGAGACCATGGACAAGAATATTTAAAATTCTACATTCATGCAGCATTACCGTCCAGAGGAATTACCACTTACCACCAAGGGCATGAACTGGGTGGAAGAGGGTTTTGTCTTACTGACGGCTGTGACCATCACTGCTGTGTCACCTGACTTGGTAAATAAAACAAGAGTAATATTGTTAAAATTCCTTAAAAGTCAGTTATCAACATACAAGCTTGTGGCTGAGACACTGCCTCACTCCTGACAGACTCAGGATGGCGAATGTTAATCCCAAGCTACAATGATGATAATTATTCACAAACGGCCCAATCGCGATGCCTTCTCCAGGACCAAAATCAATCCTGGACAGTCACTGGGATTTTAAAAGCAGTAGGACAAAAAAGGGACTTTTTCCTCAATGATGGCTTAGCCATTTACATCTTCTATCTCTCAGGAGGAAGTTCAGGTGTAAATAATGAAAAATTTCCCAAGTATCATAACTGAAGAAAACAGTAAAAGCACTTTCTCTAGAAAAGCTCTTTTAACATGTTGCCATAAATGACGGCAAATGTGTTTCTAAGCACGGTCGTCAATTTTAAAAGTGTGCAGCAACGTGTTAAGTGGAAATAGATAACGTGGGCTTTTTACCTGAACAACAGCAGAACCATCTGCAAACCTGGCCAGCTTTCCAGATGATATTTCTAATTTTCTGTGTAAGAGTAAAAAAGTGAACAAAAAAGAATTTAGGTTGTCAATACAATTCCTGGCTTAGCACAAAACCATGGAAGGTGAGAACAGAATTAAGCCCTATAGCCATGTATTCAACAAGAACAACAAATTTACCAAAAGTATAAGGGGACTTTACGAGCTGCTGAAGGAAGACAGAGAAATCAAAGGCACAAAATGAATTCCAAATAAAAGATAATGTTATTTGGGGGATAATGTACTAACTGGCTTCCTAAAACAAAAGCTCTTTGGTCTAAGAGTTTACATGAGTAAGGTCTTTCTACCAGTGGTATAAATCAGAAACATTTTAAGTTACAAAAGCATGCAAAAATGAAGTTAAAACTTGGTTAAGCACCAGGTCCTATTTACGCTATTTTGTCAGGCTTGATCATTCCATTCTCTGCAGCAGAGAGCTCTGGTGGCAAGAAGCTGGGCTACAATCCATAAGGTGGTCTGAATCCACCTGCTGCTCTGTGGGAAAAACATGGGCAATCTCCTCCCGTGCAACAAATTGCCTCTGTAAACCCAATAGAGGTCAGTTATCATTTAGTTCAAACCTGATGGCACACAACAATAATTCTCTGTTTTAAGCCTCAGTCCCCATCTATACAGATGATGAAAACTGGGGCTCTGAGAAGGCAGAGCTAGGAATTGCTGGAGTCATGTGATACTCCACATCCTGGAAACAACCCAAGTGTCCATCAACAAACGAATGGATAGAGAAGCTGTGGTATATTCATACAATGCAGCATTGAAACACAAGGAACTCATGAAATATTATACAAAAGAGATGATGCTGGAGGACATTATGCTGAGTGTAATATCTCAGTCACAAAAGGACAAATATTGCATAGGGCCACTGTTGTAAAACGGGACTGACATCGGGGTTGAGGGAAGACAGAAAAGGAGAGGAGGAATGATGTATATTGATTGCACTGAAACAGATGAGCGAGAGAGAACTGTTTAAAAGGGATATATTAATGAATATTCTTGTCATTACAGAAGTCCAGAGTGAAGGCTGCATAGTGGAGTGGATTGGGGGGAGGGATTGCATAATAATGAGCTTTTCTTTTCAAGGAGAAGAGTGAATTGGGGGGAGGGTGGGCAGGGATAAAAGTCAACAATGAATGACTAGAAACCCTAAATCTTTGTAAACTTTCATTAAAATTAATAATAATGATAAAATTTTTAAAAACCAAACACCCCCCAAGACAGTCTTCATTGGCATTTGTAGAAGAAAACAGAGGATCAAAGGTCTTTCAAAGATTCTTCTGGCTACAGCCCCCATTTCCTTGTCTTCTATCCCTTGTTAGATGCCACTGTGTTGGCTTCCACTCCCAATGATCCCCCTAGACAACAGAACAAAAACCCTGTCTGGCCTGGGTTGCCATGCTCACAATCTCTGCTGTACTTTAAGACCATTGCTGCAGCATCTGTGTTAACTCCTCTCATTGATAGCTTTCTTTTTTGTTGACCTTCTACTTTTCCAAGCATGATGGCGTGTTCTTGTGGCGTAGGGTGCTGTGCCAAGTGTATCTGCAAGGGAATGATGGGCAGTCTCCTCCCGTTAAGATTTGCTGTTGTTGTTGTTAGGTGCACCGGATGGTCCAGGAACCTGTTGTTGTTATATGCCGTTAAGTCGCCGGCCATAACAACCCTATACCGCAACTCTGAACCCTTCGCTGTCCTGAGCCAGTCTCATTGATTCTGACACATGACCCCATTGTCCCAGTTACTGTATCCATCCATTTCACCGGGGGTCTTCCTCTCCTGCGCTATCCCTCCACCTTTCCTCTGAGAACGATCCTTCTCCAAGAACCAGTCTCTCCTGGCCACGTGCCCAAAGTATGTGAGAAAGAGCTTCAAAATCCTAGCCTCCAAGGAGAAAATTGGCTTCACCCTCTCCATGACAGATTTGTTTTCTTGGCCGTCCACGGTATCTATGTTCAAGACTCTTCTCGAGCACCACTACTCAAAGGCATCAATTCTTCTTCTGTCATCCTTAGTCACTGTCTAGCTCTCTGCTGTACAGCAAGTAACTGCGAAGACCATGGCCTGGATCAGGTGCACTAGGAACCTAGCGACCCTATAAACAACAGATCTGAACCTTGCCTTACTGTGTGCATGCTCAATCTCTTAGATATACCCAATTAATGAGATTTACACTCTCGGAAACTCGATGGAGCATCATGGATCAGAATTGCATCCCATAGCAGTGAATCTGAGTTGGAGGTTAGAGTCTAACACCGCAAAACGAAAGTTCCAGGCACTTATCAAAGGGCACGCCGCTGCTTACCTGCTGCCCAAGTCCACGGCCACAGATCGGGACCCCGGGCCACCCCACAGTGTCCGCACTTGCAGCGGGGTAAGCGCCCGAGAGCGCCCTGGCACTCGGAGAGGACCTGTGCCCAGTGGCCGGAGCCGGAGGCACGAGCAGCAGAGCCTGCAGGCAGCCATGACACCTGGCACGCGAGCAACCCGGGCTGCCCTCTGATTGGCTCATCCAACCTGGGGAGCGGAGCCTGGTCCGCCTCCGTTTCCGTGGTGCGTCGGGAGGTGCAAGGAGGCGGATATCCGGACCACTCTCTACGGAGACCGGCGAGGGCCAAACTTTTCCAAACGCGATTGTGACGTAAAGCAGCGTTCCTCTCTTTAAATATTCTCCAGTGAAAAGCTAGCAGATTTTGTTTTATTTTTTACAATCTTGTTTAAAAAAGCCTGCTATAATGTAAGTGTTTAGTAAGTAAATATAGTAATAATAGCAGTCAGAACATAGCTTATGTAACCTCAGAATTTTTTTTTTAAGGTAATTACTTCAGTGTATTATATTCTGGCAACATACATCACAACATTATTTCACTCAAAGAAATATAATGAATTAAGTATATGTGACAACTTACATGAAAATTATAATGTAAAAATTGGGAAGAAAGTAATTTAAATCATATCTCCTAATAATACAGCATTGTTATTAATTTGTAGATTTACTGAGAAAAAGTATGAAGTTGTTTATATTGTTGTGACCTCAGAATTTTTAAAAAAATTATTTTAAACTTTTTTTAAGCTCTGGTGGCCTAGTGGCAAGAAGCTGCCCTGAAATCCCGAAGGCAGTGGGTTCAAATCCACCAGCCTCTCTGCGGGAGGAGATGGTCAGTCTCCTCCTGGGCGATTAAAACCTCTGAAAACAAACAAAAAACAAAACAAAAAAAACAAAACCTCTGAAAACCCACTGGAGGGTCAGCTGTGAGTCAGTTCCGACTCTGTGTACACAACAACAATTTATTTTACTATTTTTTTTATTCCTCTCTTCTTTTGGAAATTTTGTATTGGTTTGCTTACAAAGTTCTTAAACACTATTCATACTGTGTTTCATAGAAGTATTTTGTTGAGGGTTGTACAGTTTTGCTATGAAATGCTGTATCTAACATGCTATTGCAAGTGTGTGTGGAGCGGATATCTAGTGAATACATTTAATTTTCGTCTGTTTGTATCATCACGTTGTTAGGTGCTGGGGAGTCAGATCTGACTTCGAGGGGTCCAGCTCCTTGTGGTGTTAGGTGGCCCACTTTGTGCCTTCCTCACCGTCCTTGCTGGCCTTGAGCCTGTTGTTCAAGCCATTGTGCCTTCATGCCTTGTTGTAGGCCTTTCTCTTTTCGTCTATGAGAGCAAGCTAGCTGTCCTTCTCCAGAGACTGGCCTCTCCTTGGCTTGCCCAGAGTCCTGGAGACAAAGTGTTATCATCTTCATCATCATCATCATCATCATTCTTTCCTAAGGAGCATTCTGGTTGGACTTTTTCCAAGACAAGAGTTATTCATTCTTTCAGAAGTCCATTGTACAGGCAGCAATTTTTGCCAACGTCATCATTCAAAGGCAGCCCTTTCCCACCCTTCCTTATTCAGGGAGCAGCTTTTGCCCGCATGTGCAATGACTGGCAATTCTGTGGCTTAGATTAGGTGCTCATTAGTTAAAAGGATATCTCTTTTTTTATTATTTCTTTTTTTTGTATTTTATTTTTATTATTTTTGTGTGTGTATGTACCGTCATATTGGATCTGACTGGTACAGGTGGAGATTGCCCCTCCTTCTCCAGCAGAGCATCTAGTGGATTTGAACCTCTCACTTCTGAGATTGCAGTGCAGCTTCTTGCCAGTAGGCCACCAGAGCTTGCCGAGGATATCTCTTTTGAACACTTTAAAGAGTATTTTTGCAGCAGATTCACCCAATTCGTAATCTTTATTTTCATTTCCATTGTTAACATTTATGACCTAATTTCTCTGCCCCCTTTGGTCAAATGTTAATATTTTAGAAGTCGAGACTTGTTGTTATTTATGTACCAGCTAGTTGGAACCGACTTACAGCTGACCCATCATTGGGTTTTCAGAGGCAGTGAGTCACATGGGAAGAGATTGCCCATCTTTCTCCTGCAGAGCAATTAGTGTTCTGGAGTCTCGTGCCTTTGGGTTGGCAGCATGACTCCATAGCACTAAGCCACCCCATGGCCCTGCCAGAAGAACCAACATGTTTGTCTTTGAGGAAGTATAGCCAGAAGGCCTCCTTAGATGGTTGTGTGACCTTCATCTCATCAATGTTGGTGAAACTTCATCTCCTATACTGTGGGCAGGGTGCCAGGAGGGCTCTGGCATCGGAAGAAGACCTCATGCTGGGAAAGGGAGGGGGGTCAGTAAAAGAGAAGAAGATACTCAACCAGACGAATTGACACAGTGACTGTCACAAGGGCCTCGAGCAGATCGGAGACGGTGAGGATGGGCCAGGACACGGCAAGGTCCAGAGCCGTTGGTCATCAGGTCACTAGGAGTCGTACGTGACTCAATGTCTCCTCACCACAACCACAATGAAATACCAGTTACTGGTTATTTTATTTTTTTAGGAAGCTCTAGAGGCCGAGAGGTAAAGAGCTGCACTACAAAGGCGAGCTGCTCCAAGAAGGATGAGCAGTGTCCTCTCCTGCGATTTACAGCCACTGAAATGCCCCCTGGAGGGTCTGCTGTGAGTTGGTTCCAACTTACGGGCATGTAACAACAATACTTAATTTTTAAACTTTTTAGAAAATCTCCACCAGATGCTCTGCTGGAGAAGAAGGGACAATCTCCTCCTGTACCAGTGAGATCCGAGTTGATAGTGCACACACACACACACACACACACACACAGACATACACAGAGAGAAAGACACACACACACCCACACAGACACACCCACACAAAACAAACCAACTTTAAAAAAAATCTGAGTGGAACTTTACAAATCACATTGGTTTTTCTTTCAATTAGTCATATACTCATTTGGTTTGAGAACATTAATTACAATTGATTATTACAATGGCTAAAGGGGGCAGGTGTCAGAGACAGTGAGATTGGCTCAGGATAGGGCAGAGTTCAGAGCCATTGTTCATAGGGTTACTATGGCTTGTAGTTGACTCGATGGCACATAACAAGAAACAACAACCCCTTAACGTGCACTGGTGGCTTAGCAGTAGGGGATTGCTTTGCCAACTCAAAGATACATGGTTCGAACCCACCATCTGCTCTGCAGGAGAAGAATGGGCACTCTCCTCCTGTGTGATTTACAGTCTATAAACCCACTAGTTGGCCTCCACTTCCATAATAGCTTGCCTCTGAAAACCCTATGAACCTGGAGAGAGGACGAAAGTTATACAGGTGTCCAGGACTTTCGTTCACAGGGTCACTATGATTCGCCTGTGACTCGATAGCTCTTAACAACAACAACAACAACAAACCCACTGGAGGGTCAGCTCTTGATTGGTTCCAACTTGAAGGTCTACAACAACAACAGCAAACAATCTTTATGATATATTGCTTTTTCTTCACTAATTTTATCTATTTGTTTGTTTGGTTCCCTTCTTTCTCTTTCTATTCCTGGTAACCATTCAAGAATGGTTCTGAGTGTAAATCATTCCTTAACCTTTTGTAGCGCTGGTCTTGTACCATAATGATTCTATTCTGACTGACCTATTTCACTTAACATAATTTGTTAGATTCATCCATGCTTTACTGACTTTCATATGTCTTTTATAATTTTTTAATGATGTGTAATACGCCATTGTGTAAATGTGTCAGAGCTGCTTTATCTGTCCGTTGATGGACACTTTGATTTATTTCCATAAGGTCACTATGAGCTGTCTATGACGGCACTTAACATCACCACCACCAACATAGAGAGAGCTCTGTGGGCCTGGTGGATAGAAAGTTATGCTACCACGTCAAAGGTGGATGATTTTAATTTGCAGCCCTCAGGCCTGGTTTTAATTGTTTTTGGTCAAACATTCTTCTTAGTGGTTATAGCACTAGTCTGGTCTGTCCATTTGCTGTAGAGAGGTAACTTGTGGTTGCTGTGATGCTAAACACTGTGACACTGATGTGTCAAATATGATAATGGTTACCCATGGTGGACAGTGTTTGGTGGAGCTACCCGATTAAAACAAGCTTGGAAGCAGGAGTGACACCCACTTCCAAAATAGCTGGCCTCTGGAAACTCTGTGAGCTTGGAGAAGCAATGAAAGTTATACGAATGTTCAGATCTTTCATTCATAGGGTCACTGTGAGTCATCTATGACTTGGTGGCACTTAACAACAACAACAACACTCTTGTGCATGTACCATCAAATCAGATCTGCCTGGCACAAGAGGAGATTGTCCTTCCTACTCCACATCTGATGGATTTGAACCATGCACCTCTGGGATTGAAGTGCAGCTTCTTGCCACTAGGCCACCAGATCTCCCTCAACAACAACACTCGTATAGATAGTACTGTGATAAACATAGGTATGCATATATATGTCAGTTTGTGCCATAACTTTTACTTCGTTGGGATAGATACCTAATAGTAGAAATGCTGGGTCATATGGCATTTCCATTCCCAACTTTCTAAGCCAGCTGTTGTTTCACATAGATATGTTGTAAAGTGAAAAAAAACTATAGTGTGTAACTGATACATTTTTGTTGTTGGTAGCTGTCTTGGATTTATGATTCTGTCAAGCACATTGGGAGGAAATGCGGCTGAGGAGGTCTATGACCAGACCATTCCTCTTGACCTACCTTAGTCTGAAAGATGTCAAGAAACTGACTCCAGGTCAAAGAAACACACATGTGGCACGTGAGAGAATTTGCCTGGTCTAGAATCTAATTTTCAAATGTGGAAGATGACTGTCTACCTATGTCTGCTGTCAGTTTTATGAGGTAGGTCCATCTTCTCCATCGTAATCTGGTTCTTTGCACTTTCTTTATGTGTTTGCTTAAATGAATCAGTGCTAACTATTCAATCTTGAGGGCCTCATTTCTTTCTTTGTGGATTACAATAAAATGAAGTAACCTTCTCCCATCTAAAAATAATTAGACAACAAAAACTCAATACATTATAAAATATGGTTTTAAGATTTCAAAAACAGGAGCCTTGTCAGCACAAGACATCACATGTCAGGCTGCTGATTGGAAGGTTGGCTTTTAGAATTCACTCTCTGCTTCATGGAGGAAGATAAGCAGGTTTCTTTTATAAAGGTTTAC